GATGGAACATAGCGGATTTGACATGCCCTCAATTCATTCCTGGGTCGTATATAAGAGGATGAACTAACTCACTAATAAGTTGTCTCACAATAGCCAGAGATTGAGCATGAATTCAGATTTCATATACAAAATTCTTTCCACTTAGAGCTTGGATACTTGCAAGACAAACTGCAGAAACATACATGATTGCTTTTGCTACTGGGACTGTATACGTTCTTGCCATAACTCACTGCCTGCAACTCTACCTGCACCCCCACTGGCACCCCTGCAGGCACCCCCCGCCAAACTGGCACCCCCCACTGCACCCCCGCATGCACCCCCGCCAGGCTGACACCCCCTGCCACACCCCCCGCTGCACCGGTGCCTTGCCCCTGCCATCTTCTCATATGTAAGATTACATAATCTGACAGCTCGGAACACGTCAAGTCACCAGCCAATCAGAACCTGTATAAATGTCGTACCTAAGTGTTTCCCGCTCTTCTGACACTGTTTCTACAGTTATGCAGCTGAAAACCATCGGAATAAGGTCTCCCTATGCTGTTCTTGTTGAATATGTAGGTATTTCATATCATTTGTCCATCCAAAATTCGAAACATGAAAACAGTTCACAGTTGCTCAAGGTTCCTACATAGATAATGGTTCAACATAGTTCACTTTGGGTATTGCAAAAAATATATTTTCTACAAATGAACAACTCAATACAGCTGAATGATACACCCCTTGGCAGTGTCTGAAACAAATTCTGAGAGCCCTGGACCCTGGAACCATTCAAAAACTTGAAATGGGTCCGAAAAATAGGGTCTTGATAAACATGAGATAGGGGCCAGTTTGAAGAGATGTAAGCCACTGGTCATGTTCAATGTGGTATTTGACAATGTTTTGGTGCCCTGCCCCTCACCAAATGGTCTCCTTTCCCACCAAAAAGTGCACATACACACTCAAGCTTATAAAATCAATTGTCGGCCAGAAACAAGAGCAGGCAAGTTGTGTCACTGGAATTGGGTAAAGGTAACCTGGAAGTCACTCGGGTTGCAGTACAGAAGCTTTGGAAAGTGATCCTGTAGTTGATCCACATTGGGTAGGCTGGCAGAGGCTTGGGCACCCCCCGCGGCACCCCCCGCAGCAGCCCCCGCGGCAGCCCCCACCATCAACCCTGCCCCAGCCCCTGCAAGGATTGGATGGACAAAAGTGCTGCCTAATCAATTGTTAGTGTTCACAGTATTATCACATCCATTAAAGTGTCTAAATGGTGTGTAGACAAGGAATATGAAATCCATCAATCAACAATCCTAACACCTGTATCAGATATCCTGAAAATGGAGAGGAAGATTTGGGAGCAGACAGACTATCGGAAGCAAACAGACAGGGACAAGGAGCAGTAGCTATTCCTGGCGATCAATTTGGCTGCACATGGAAAACTCCCTTGGGGGATTTGCCAAACAAATCAAGTTGCGCATTTTTCAAACATTGAATTCGACCTAATAGCTTGAGCAGACCATGCCCAAATGTACCAAGTTATAACTTGTATTTGACCCTACATAAACAGATTATACAGGTGCTATTGCATGTTTTCAATATCCCAGGCTCTGCTAAAGCACAAGGGAATCAAATATCTTTAGCTGCAGACCATACCAAGAAACCCCTGCCAAATTGAAGGATAATTATGTGACATTCTATGGCCATGGCCAGAATAGATACATCGAAATTTGATATAATGCACCCCTGCCCCTGCAGTAGACCTTGCAGTGGGCCCCGCATCTGACCCCTGCATCAATTTCAATGTCTTCCTATAAATTCCCAGTTGGCCTGTTGCCCTGCTCACCTCTACAAGATCTTCAATGAACAAAAATGGATCATAACAGACCAACCCTGGGGCAGCCCCTGCAGCACCCCCCTGCAGCACCCCCCCGCAGCACCCCCTGGGGCAGCCCCCGCATCACCCCCCACGGCACCCCCTGCGGCACCCCCCGCGGCACCCCCCGCGGCACCCCCCGCGGCAGCCCCTGCGGCAGGCCCTGCCAAATGATGGGATCAAGTGTGTCACCAATCCCATTGTGCAGGGTGCATTTTGGTTTTTCTAAGCTCAAGTTCATGTTTAACTAGCCTATTTACCTATGGAAATTATACTGGGATGATTTGGGGAGTCTTCCATTTTTTTGGGCGGAAAATCACGTGATTTTGCGCCCATTGTCTGCCACAGCATGCAATGTATCAAGCAGCATTTCCAAAATCATGCCAAATGCTGCAAAAAAGGCGCCCAAAAAGTCACGTGATAATGCGCCCACTGCCCGCCATGGTGTGCAGGGGGTGGTAGTGACCCCGCCAATGACGCCGCCAACCCCTGCCAGCATTTTGGTAATATTTGGTGCAGCGCATCACGTGATTTTTTTATCCCGCCATCCCGCCCATGCAGCGCGTCATGTGATTGGATTTTTTTTTCCCGCCCAGCTACCCGCTCTTATGGACAAGTCACATGCTACATACACCCCCCCTCCTCCTGACCCCCGCATATGCCCCCGCTACTAAATCGACTAAATGGCCCCCCCACCCCCCGCCAGGGGGTACCTACTGGGTACCCTCAGCAAGACGTCTGAGGGTACCCAGTAGGTACCCCGCGGGGGGAGAACCGCGTGATGGCGGTGGTAACTGAGGTGGGCATGAGCGTCACGGAATTGGTAAGCTTTGCGCGTCGCCACCAGGCTATTGCGCAGGAAGCTTTAGCTGCGGCTGCAGATCGTGATCTTAGTTCACAGCGCAGTGAACAGGATCCGTACAATGGTATCGATTTCGCTCGTTTAGATCATGGAATTACCAACTTTAATGAACAATTAGTGACTGGTGAGACGTTCCCTGCGATGTCTTCGTCCTTCCCTCCCATGTTCGAGTTGACCTACCTGTCCCCAGTCGGGGCCTGTCCTGCCTTCCCATCGGGTACTGGTCCATCATACCCTTCGAAGGACAAGGGTCCTGATCCTCGTAACTGGGGAGGTCTGTCGGACCGATTCTCTGAGCATGATCTTGACACTCAGCGTGCTGCGTTCGCGAATTTTGATGAGATCAGACGCATGAAGCACGAGGACAGTTACTTGCCGCCGTCTGTCTCGGTTCGGCATGACAGCCGCAGATCTCCGACCACCATCTTGTCAGAGCGGAATTTGAAGATGCATAGTGTAAACGCCTCTGGGCACGATGACCAGGGCGTTGAAGAACGTTTTGTGGACTTGCAGCGCCAAATTGACAGCCTGCATAGAGCTGTGACAGAATCTCGGGCCTCGACGCCCGTTAAGATGCTGAATGCCGAGAACAAGCAAGGTGAAAGCTTGTCCCAGGCCCAGACCGCTGTGAAGAACAGCATCGACCGTCATATCAGCATTGGTGTGCCGCCGACGCACACCCAGACAGACGCACGTGAGAGGACTCCTGCAACTCGTACCGGGGCAGGAAGCTTCATTGAGCGTGCATTGCGCAACGTCGATAGCTTTGGCGGACCCCCTCCATCCGAGCCGCCGTCCAGCAATCCCTCGGATGTCGGAAGTCGGAGCCCGACACCAGTGCCACGTCGTTCCAGGCAAGGAGAGACTGTGAACGTCTCAGTAAACGAACCGAAAATGATCTTGAAGCCAATTCCGCCGAAGGAGTACAACGGATCTCCTAATGCGGTAGCGTTCCGCCGATTTGTGAAAGAGGGAACAGCTTACCTAAAGCTCGGCCGCGTCCCCGCTGATGAACGAGCGTTCTATTTGTCGTATTTCATGTCTGGCCATGCACGAGAGTTCTATAACAGTCGCGTGGAAAATGATGAACATACCTGGACGTTATCAGACTTCTTCTGGGGTCTATTCAACTTCTGTTTCCCTGTGAACTTCCGTGAGAAACAGCGCTCGAAGTTAAACGCGTGCAAGCAAGATGACAAATCTGTATTGGTCCATAAGGCCGAGTGGGAGCAGATCTTCAATACGATCGGTCTGGAAGCAAACCAGGAGAAAGTCGTGATGTTTTGTCGCAGCTTGAAGATGTCGATTCGCAAGGAAATGTTCCGCGCGAATTTGGATCCCAAAATGTCGACTTGGGATGAGGTTACTCGCGGTGCTGAAGCTGCTGAGGTAATCGTGAATCTTGACCTTGAGGATGCCGACAGTGATGAGACTGAGGCGCCGAAACCTCAGCCCAAGTGGAAGAAAGAAAACTTGGCTACGGATTCAAACGAGAAGCGCCGCAACGGAGGGCGAGCTCTATCGGTGTCAAGTGCTGCTGTCGAAACTCCAAAGAAGAACCAGCACGAAAAGACATGGGATTACGTGACGCGTGACGGCAAAAAGTTGTCTGCCAAGACTCGAGCTACGTACCTGAGCGAGGGATGCTGCTTCGAGTGTGGAGAACGCGGGCACTTGTCTCGAAACTGCCCCGATGTGAGTGGAATGAAGTCGGAGAATCCCGGGAAACCGCCGGGTATTGCTTCACACGCAATCGATATCTCGCTTGCTGAGACCACTGAAACTGTGAAAGAATCGTTTGATGATGAATGAAGTCCGTCAGTCGTCGAGGAGGGCGGGCGGATACAAGAATGACGTGTGATTGACATTGATTGATTTTTTCTGATTGACACTTGACTGATTTAATTGACATTTACTTCCGTGGATGGATTCAACGCCATCTCGGACTTGTTATTGAACTGGTAAGAGAATTTTTAATGGACTGTGAGCTCACCGCCAGCGTTGAGCTGGAGGGCGTATGTAGCGGGAACGTCCCGTTACAGAGGTCATGTGATTTATCTCTCAGACTGAGTCCTCGATCGGCTGGCTTTGACCGCCGATCACCCTATATAAGTAGATAGCTCCTGTTTTTCCCTTTTTCCTTAGTCAATCTAGTGCTTATCCCTCTCACTGTCGTCTCCCCCCTCCTCCTTGTAGCGGAACTCATCTCGGTCTAGACGCTTCCGTTACACCGTTCTATGACTCTTTGTCAGCAGTAATCACACCCACTAGCACACAAACACGAACATAGATCCGGAGAAATGGCAGGCCGACGCTCTGAAGTTTTGCTGCATGAAGGGATGTATCAGCGAGCATCCTCGGTCAAATATTGGAATGAACGCACCGATGATCTTGTTTTTCTCGCCGAATTCAGGCCCCGTGTGTCCATCTGAGGGTGCGGCGAACTCGGAGGGCACGAACAACTTAATACCAGCTTGCTTCGCCGCGTCAATGAGGGGCACCTGCACAGAAATGGCCTCGATGGACAGTGTAGACACAATCACGTCGACGTTGTGGGACTTGAGTGCAGCGGTGACGGCCGAGACATCATCATACGACGGGACTGAGACAACCTGGACGTACTCTGGGACTTTCTTGGAGGCGGTGCGGGAGAGGAGGATGACTTTGGCGGAAGGCTGGGCGGCGAGGGCGGCAAGAATGGGGCCACCAAGAGTGCCGGCACCGATGACTGCGAACGAGGAGTAAGAAGACATTGGTCGGTGGGTTGAGTATGGGATGGAAATGCTGCAATTTGGGGGGTCGAATTGCGTCTGTCCTTGGTGTGCGTTTGTGGCTGTCTTTTTTAGCCCATGCAAGGTGTATGCGTCAGCAGAGTATCTGTCGTCATAGTCAGAAGAGAGTGCATAACGAATCGCAGATCCCGGTCGCATATCGATGATCCCAAAAAATAAGTTCATTACACTCCTGCGATGATGCAGAAAACGGGATCCAGGACCTGATCATTCTGCATCCGGAGATCCCTTCGCCTTGAGCCTCGAGCGCACTTCGATGGAATGAAAGACTGAGCCTCATAGGGGCCATTCGAGTTGGGATCCCCATCCTTACGTTCTTTGCTGCCGTTTCTCACCCTCGCTGGTTATGCACCAGCGGGTGATTCAACAAACGGTGATATGGATCACTGGTCCTAATTGGGCAATCTTATTCATTAACTGAGCGAGCCCCTATTTAGTCACCATCCATCCGACCCAGATTGGGCCGCCCGACTTCGACCGTCTGACCAAGCAGATGTAATTTTTGTGTTGCCGGTAGAATCGACGCAGGAACAGAATGCGGCGTTGCTCGGTTCGGTGCGTGCATGCCAGTATACATCAACGGCACACGGTCCATTGCAGTCTTACGACTCACGCTGGGACTGAGCAGACAGCACAAACTTCGCCATGTTCACGTGCATGAATGACGAGAGATAATTGCAGGACGTGAGCCGGTCTGGGGCCCACCCGCGAACTCCATGTGGGGCGGACGGAATCGTCGGGTTAAGGAACAGGCTCGACGAGATTGTCACTCCTGAATGGCAGAAAGACTGACTCCCGTAGAGCTGGGAATTCTAGAAAGGGGGTGAAGAGGATTGAGATTGAATCAGAGTCGCAGCGCGAGTGGAACCGGAGCTGGCCCGGTGATTGTCTCGTGCGGGAAGGATCAGAGGTCAACTCAGACGTGTGGGGAATCTTACGCAGATTTTTGGCGGGATTTCATTGCAGAGACACCCGGCGACAGTGTCCATACACAGGCACCACTGTTATGCGATATCGGATATCTGGGTCTGTACTTCAAGCACATCGCCCACGGAGGGCCTAGAGAATCCCCCGCGGGACTCCCGCAGATGTGGTCCAGCGGGACTCCTGAAAAATCCAAGTCCCACTCCTGACGACGACGGCGCCGTTTGATGTTCTGTCAACGCTAGTATGTAGTCTCATGCAGTAGAAAATTATCTCAGCCTGTTGCATCAGTTTTAGTTTTGACATCGTTGGGAACAACGAGGTCCAAGGTTCGGGTCCCGCGGGAATCTACCTAAAGCGGGAGTAAATACAGCAGGACTCCAGGGGGACCGGAAAATGACCCGCGGTGATCCAGCGGGAGTGCTTTAATGGTGTGCGGGACTCCAGCGGGACTCCAGCAGGTCCCAGCAGGTCCCGCGGCTAATTCATGTAGCCCCTCAACTAGATCTCGCTCGGGTTGCTCATAAGTATACAGAATACACGCATGATTGCAGGCTAATAAATGAAAAATAACAGTGTCAACAATGGTCCCCTTGCTCCCCGTCACTCACGAGTGAGACAAAGGCGGCAAAATTGTCCTCTGGAAGAAGGAGTCGCTCCTCCATCCATCCGCGGATCCATTCAGCATTGAATCGGTGTGATTCCTGTTGTTCTTCCGTCTGCACCTCCGACACAGCCGTGTCCAGGACGCGCAATGCATCGACATTGGTGATGTACCCGCTGCCCTCTTCGACGGCCCAGTAAAGTACCGAGTAGAGCCTATGAGAATCCGCAAGACAGTTCTTCGGATATTTGCGAATGAATCCAGAGGCGGCATCGGCGAATCGACGTTGCAGTGAAGTCGGGATCACTAAATCAATGAGGGTGAATGCGTATACCAATTTGAGCGTTGCCCAGTCCAGGTCGCGCTCATCTTGATCCGGACTTCGGGCGGTACACTGCTTGAAGAAAGTGGTGAAAACACCCACACGTGCGCAGTAGTGAATTTGCTGGGCTGATGCCCGCTCCGTCCGTTTGTCGTTATCAAGGCCGAGCGCGGAGCAGAACCAGTCATTGTCCGCGAACATCCTCGGCAATTGCTCCCATTCCGACAAATCCACCAATCCTGAGAAATCCTCCCGGAAGCATTTGAGCACGACGCACTGGACGATGGCAGCCAAACGGTGCGTGCAGACGTCGGTCCACAGAGTGCGGAGGACCAAAAGATGGGTTTCAAGATCTTTTGGTGGGACATCGGCCTCGACCAGATTCCGATAAATGAGCTGGAGGGCGTCAACGGATGGCTGGAGCTGGAATCCCAGCTCCAAGTTCCGGGATAGACTGTGGCAGAGGTATCGGGTGTAATGATGCCTCGAAGAGGGCTGCGAGTCAGATTTTGGGTCGGAGACGGCGAGAGACGGATGTTGAACAAGGAACGGCCCAAGACCATGGAGCCGCACCCACCATGAATATTCCGATGTCTGGGCGAACGGGCTGATCATCATGCGAGCAGCAAAGACGAGATTGTCCGCTGTCTCGTCTGATGTTAGATTGATCAGGTGAATGAGACCCAGATGCAGAGTTTCGTAGCCGTTTGCTTCTGTGAATCGCATTTCCGAAAGATTGAAGAGCGAAGCGGTCTCATTCCGTTGGAAGCTGGTAGCGCATTTGGAAAGTGCCACCAGATAATCCGTGTACGTCCAATGGATGTCTACTTGCTTTTGCTTCTCCGCCTCGGCGTCAGAGCTGCTCGTCTGTGTGTGGTCCTGCTGCCGGCTCCGATACTCAATCATGTTCAGACGGGTCAAAGCGGACACGCTGAGGACCATGCTCTGCATGTCGTCAGAATCGATAAATTTTGAGCCGAGCAGCACGTTGTCCACATCAGCGTCTCCAATCGGACTTTGCAGAGGCGACCCCGTGTGTAGAGAGAACGCACAGACGGCCCAGATGGCTCGGAGCACGGAGACCTGTCGCCGGAAGCGGTCTTTGGGCTCGAGTATATAGCTGTTGGAGCCAGCCATGAAATCCGCAAGACGCTGACCGAGATGAGCTTCCTGATCACGTAACAGAATCTTGAAATGCGCCCGATACGCGCCGCAGGGCTCCCGTCTGTCAAAGTCCCAGAGCGCTTCGGCAAGCCCCTCCACAAACGGCCCAAACTCAAGGTCGTCAGAGAGCGAACGCATGGTCCAAGCAACAGCTTGCGTCTCTGTCTTGACAGCATCATCCCTGGGAAGATGCAGTGCTGCCCATTTCAGGGCGTCCACCATGCTATGGTTGTCATAACTCGACTCTTTTTCATCTTATCATTGGCGATCTTATCTTATCTTGGCACGACTTATCTTATCACGGATCACGGCATCAGACAGTCCGGGCTAGGGGTTCCAGGGGTTATCTCTATCGATTCGAGGCTGCGCGACATATGCTCCGGAAGGTTCTACTACAACCCATGACCAGTGCTCCATACGGTACATAGCCCTATGACTCATTAGTTGTAGATATGACTCAGACTGGATTTGGGTATAAATACTGTAGCTACTTGGTTGTATTCTCCAGTCTTCGAATTCACTTCTCTTTTCGACTTTGTTTTTGGGTTGATTGTCACATAATTCGAAGACTCCCCTCACACCCTCGTACCTCTTACCTCCTACCCTGCATCACTGCACCGCTACGCCCGCTATATCCTCTCCACCCTTATCACCCCACTTACCCTTTTACCGAATCATCTAGTCGTCCTCTGCGATCGCAGTGAAGGGTTCATATCGAGCAAACAGCACCAGGCCACGGGTAACGTTGAGCCCGACCCAAGCCTTACGGTAGCTACAAGGAGTGCTGCGGAGACCTTCGGGAAAACGCACCTCGGGATCATCGGGCACGTGAAGAGCTAGGCCCGGGATCTTTTTGCTAGCAAAAGAACCTTTCCTCGAGTGCTTGTACAGCACACGAATCCACCATTTCGTACCGATTCCCATCGTCATCTGGGAGTCCATCCCCTCCCCCCATCATACCATCGTCGCCCGATCTGGCGCATCAAAACCAACCCGGACCCTCCAACCCCTACCTCGCCCTTCCGCCGCCTGAAGACGAGTTCCCCGACCTTGGCGAGTTACCCTCCGAACAACCACCCTCGCCCCCACCTACCGCACCTGCTCCTACCATGTCCGGACATCACCGCATCACCCTCGCCGCCAACCCCCCCTACTTCGATGGCGACAAGTCCAAGTACCTGGGCTTTGTGGATGCGTGCACCACTTACATCGGTGCCTATCGGTCAGAATTCTCGCTGGACGAGACAAAAATCCTCTTCGTCCTGTCCTACCTCCGCAATGAGAGCGGCACAAGCTGCGCCGCCTCAAGATGGGCAATGAACTGGAAGCAGCACAATTTCGAGGGCTTCCAAGGACTAAAGGCGGGGGTCACCGCGACAAGCTTCTTGGAGGAGCTTCAGAGGGCCTTTGGGGATTCTAACGCAGAGCAAGTCGCTGCCGCCCGACTCATGGCCCTTCGCCAGGGCAGACGGTCCTTCGCGGACTACATCTCTGACTTCGAAATGCTGGCTGCAGACGCGGGGTACAACGTGGTCACCTCCACCGACAGCAAGGGCGAGTACAAGAAGGGGGAACAGGACAATATCCTCATCGAGTTCCTGGAGCACGGACTCAGCAGTGAAATCGCAAGCCGCCTCTACAACACTGGCGTTCCCCTGCCCAAGGCATATGGTGCCTTCAAGAACTGGTGCGTCAACATCGAGGCAAACGCTCTACGCGATCAGCTGCGCAAAGCATCGCATGCGCAATCCGCAGCACGACCGCCGCCCCAATTCCGCCCGCAGGTAGCCCCAATGTCACCTGCACCCGCCCCGGCCCGACCCGCTGCCAACGAACCGGTTCCGATGGAAATTGATCGCACCCACGCCCGCGGCCGCAATATCATCTGCTACAACTGTCAGCAGCCTGGGCACATTGCGCGGAACTGCCCGGAACCAAGGAAGAAGCGCACATTCTTCAATCGGGCCACGATGCTAGAAGAAATCGAGAACGGGGACAAGGATAACGAGTTCCTCAAGGAGATTGCCGAGAAGCTGCGTGAGAAGGGTTTTTGAAGCGCTCCACTCCTCTAGCCAAGGAGGTGGAGCGTCCGGACTATGGACGTTTTTCTGTACTTGTTTCGATTAAAGATATGAACGATTCCCCTCATACATACACAATCTCAGACTCCCTACGTACTAATATTCATGATTTTCTCGTCGCTGATATGGAAAAAGAACGACAAAGGAAAATAGCTTTAAATAGAGAGTATTTACAGAGTAAAAAGGATCAAAAAACTGCGGATAAATTAATTTTGGACTCCTACGTATTTATGGCTCGTGGAGAAGGAACCACGTCAACAAAGACCGAAAAGGGGAGCATTGCTCCGGAGGCTCAATCCTTGAAAAAGGAGGAAGCGCCCAAGGAATCTGCCGAAACCAAGGTTCCAGAAGCACCCAAACGCACAAGGGTGCCAGATGCCGTTCAAAGGAAATTGGCGGCCGAGAGACAGAAGGGCCCGCAGCCCGGCAGACTGGCGCAGGAATTGCGCGACTACCAGGCCAAAAGGAAGAGACATTCGATGGACGTATATGTCCAGATCACGGGTCTGGACTCAGGGAAAACGCGCGGAGTCAAGGCGCTGCTCGATAGCGGCTGCAGTACCTGTTGCATCGATACCGACTACGCACGGGCGGAGAAGTTGGATATTCAAGAGCTTCCACAACCCATCGTGGCCCATAACGCCGACAACACCGAGAACATCAGCGGTCGGATCACGCATTACGTTGACCTAAGGATGAGAATCGGCCCTCACGTGGAGACACGCATGTTCCTTCTGACGTGTTTAGGGAAAGCTCGGATCTTCATTGGTCTTGATTGGCTGACGGAACACAACCCCGAGGTGGATTGGCAGGAGCAGACCATGAGATTCAGCCGATGCCCAGAGCGGTGTCACATGAGGGGTCACGAGGAACATCAAGCAATGATTGACATGGATGCAATCGACCTGGACACGGGCACACCGGATCTGGAAGAGGGAGAATCGATCCTGTTAGTCGATTTTGGGAAGGAAGTGGATCTGCGGCTGAAGGAAACGCCGGCGCAGAAATTCGCAGAAGAAGCGGAAAAAGAGAAGGAGAGGATGACCGAGGGGAAGATTCCGGATCAATATCGGGAATTTGTCAAAGTATTCGCCAAGGAATCATTCGACTCGCTACCAGACCGACGGGCATGGGATCACGCAATCGAGCTCAAACCTGGTTCCAAGGCAGTGGACTGCAAGGTGTACCCATTATCACGCAATGAACAAGTCAAACTCGACGAATTCTTACAAGAGAACCTGGCCAGTGGACGGATCAGGCCATCAAAATCACCCATGGCATCAGCATTCTTCTTTGTCAAGAAGAAGGATGGCTCCCTACGCCCCGTCCAAGACTATCGGAAGCTGAATGAGATGACGATTCGGAATCGATACCCGCTGCCGCTGATATCCGAACTAGTCCATAATCTATGTGGCGCCAAGTTCTTCACAAAACTTGACATCCGGTGGGGGTACAACAATGTACGGATCAAAGAGGGCAACGAGTGGAAGGCTGCATTCCGCACGAACCGAGGGCTGTACGAGCCCTTAGTTATGTTCTTCGGTCTCACAAATTCCCCGGCAACGTTCCAAAACATGATGAACGACATACTCCGAGAGTTGATCAACGAGGGTCACGTGGTAGTCTATCTGGACGATATACTGATCTTCACAGAAAACTTGGACAAACATCGGCGAATCACGAAACGAGTGCTCGAATTGCTCCAGAAACACAAGCTATACCTGAAGCCTGAAAAGTGCGAGTTCGAACGCACGGAAATCGAATACTTGGGTGTAATTATTGGACACAATTCGATGCGGATGGACCCAGTCAAAATCAAGGGCGTGATGGAATGGCCCGAACCAAAGAGTGTCAAACAGGTCCAAGCTTTCCTCGGATTCACAAACTTCTATCGGCGCTTTGTCCGGGGATACACGGAGGTTGCCAAGCCATTGACACGGCTGACAGGGAAGGCAGGATGGTCATGGGGTGCAGATGAGCATGCGGCATTTGATGGATTGAAGAAGAGAATCGCGGAGGATGCGGTCCTAGCATTGCCAAATGACACTGGCCAATATCGTCTGGAAGCCGATGCTTCGGAAGGGGCAACAGGATCAGTTTTGAGCCAAAACCAAGACGGCATTTGGCGCCCAATCGCATTTATTTCGCACGCACTGACCGAAACCGAGCGAAATTACGAGATCTACGACAAGGAAATGCTTGCAATCATGCTATCATTGGATGAATGGAGACAGCTACTACTGGGAGCCACGGAGACGTTCGAGATCTTCACTGATCATCAGAATCTTGAGTACTTCCGGAAGCCGCAGAAGCTCAATCGACGGCAAGCACGATGGATCACGGAGTTGGCGGAGTTTGATTTCACCTTACGACACCGACCCGGCGCACTCAACTGCAAGGCAGATCTCCTGTCTCGACGAGCAGATCACGATCAGGGCAAGAACGACAACAAGGACGTCACGCTACTGAAGCCCGAGTTCTTCCGATCACAAGAAGTCACATTCGAGGGACAGGATCAGCAGCTAATCGATGAAATCAAGGCCATTCGATCAATTGATGGAAGCGTCAAGGCGGCCTTAGAGAAGTCACTCGTCGGATGGAAGAAGGAAGAAGGGCTTATCACGTATCATGGGAAGCTCTATGTACCAAGGGACGAGGAGTTGCGGGACAAGATCATCGGACTACACCACGACACCCCTTTGGTCGGACACGCTGGGATCAACCGAACGCAGGAGATGGTGGAAAGGAACTACTGGTGGCCAAGGATGGGAAACCAAATTCGGAAATACATCCAGACGTAGCGGACCAAGACCAGAAGAGCCAGGACAGGGAGTTTGCACCCGCATGCAGTTCCAAACGCACCGTGGGAAATCATCTCCATGGATCAGATCGGACCCTTGCCGGTCAGTAACGGGTATGACGCAATTCATGTGTGGTGTGACACCTTCACCAAAATGATCCATGTCGAACCAATTAGTACTGACATCAGCAGCGAAGGAGTGGCACGATTAACCAGGGACCGAGTCTTCCGCTACCACGGGATCCCTCGCAAGATCATCACCGACAGGGATTCGCGTTACATCAAGGGCTTCATGAGGGAGACGAATCAGATGTTGGGCGTGGAAATGAACCCGGGGACCGCATATCACCCGATCACGGATGGGCAGACAGAACGCATGAATCAGGAAATCGAGCATTATCTCCGCATCTACGTCAATTACCATCAGACGGACTGGTCGGAGTGGCTGGGAATGGCGGAGTTCGCATACAACGACAAGATGAACACGTCTACCAAAATATCGCCATTCTATGCGAATCACGGATATCACCCGTGGAAGGGAGTGGAGCAACGGATGGAGTCAAGGAACGAGTCGGCGGAGGAATTTGTAAAAAGAATCAAAGAAATACAAGACGAAGCAAAAGCAGCACTAGAAAAAGCAAAAGAAAAAATGAAAAAATACTACGATAAACAAAGAAAAGAAGTTCCGGAGTTGAAGGTTGGGATGAAGGTGTACATAGAAGGGGAAAATATCGAGACGGATCGACCATCAAAGAAGATGAGCGACAAGAGACTAGGACCATACGAGATATTGGAGAAGGTTGGAGCGGCTGCATGGAAGCTGGATTTACCGGACACGGACCGAAGACATCCGGTGTTCAACGAGTCACTGTTGACACCCTATCACGAACCACCCCCCCATCGCCGAGAGAAGAGGCCTGTAGCCAAGATGATCGGAGGAGCAGAAGAGTGGGAAGTCGAAGAAATCGTGAAAGAGCGAAACGTCGGCCGAGGGAAACAGTACTTGGTCAAATGGAAGGGATGGCTGCACAGCGAGAACACCTGGGAACCATCACGACACCTTACCCACGCGAAGAAGATCCTGAGAGATTGGCAGAGGAAACAATCCAACCCAGACACACGCATTCGCCTCCTGCCAACTTTCGAAGCCGGACATTGGGATTATCTCATCCATCGCTACAAACCCAAAGACGAGCGCCTTCCATATCCCCAGCGACAACTCTTCGATCCCTACGAAAACGACTTCACGCCCATCGGCCTAGTCGATGAGGACATCGACCCTAGAGAGGGGGTAATGTCATAACTCGACTCTTTTTCATCTTATCATCGGCGATCTTATCTTATCTTGGCACGACTTATCTTATCACGGATCACGGCATCAGACGGTCCGGGCTAGGGGTTCCAGGGGTTATCTCTATCGATTCGAGGCTGCGCGACATATGCTCCGGAAGGTTCTACTACAACCCATGACCAGTGCTCCATGCGGTACATAGCCCTATGACTCATTAGTTGTAGATATGACTCAGACTGGATTTGGGTATAAATACTGTAGCTACTTGGTTGTATTCTCCAGTCTTTGAATTCACTTCTCTTTTCGACTTTGTTTTTGGGTTGATTGTCACAATGGTTCTGATCACGATTATCTCCCGGTGCAGCAGGTGCAGTGAGGGCTTCCTGGTCGGTCTGAGAGACTCTGTTTTGCACACGAGCCTTGCAAACATGAGCCCTCAGCACGCTTCCCAAGCTCTGGTTTAGCGACCAGAGGACTCCCGTGAGCGGCGTCTGGTACGGACTGTCAAAGCAGAGAAGTGGGAGCACGGTGAACGCTCCATAGGCAGAGACAAAGAGAAGCAGGAGAGCGGATGTGATGGCCATGATGATGTCGTTGATGGGCACGAGAAATGCGACCAGACCCGCGAAGAACAGGACAAGTGCCCCGTGCAGGAGAAGCAACGGAATGCCAACGACAGCATGCATATTGAAACGCTGCAAACCGTGATACAGATACATGTACACACGGGACCGAATGGAGATGGAGGAGAACATAGTTGTCCGGTGCTGGTACTCCCTTGCCCACTGCTCGACCAGGGTCGCGACGAGTGCACTTGACAGACTGAGCGCAAGACTGGTGAACCACAGTGCGTTGCAGACGAGAGCTGAGATCGGGGGTGAGAATGGAGCGGTGGGAGGGAGTGCGTCTGTCACTGCCGTGCCGTTGTGCATGTTCGCAAGCTGGAGTGAGATATGAGTGAGGAGTGCGACGGTCTGGCTGCCCGAGTCCGGGCTTAGTGTCTTGTAGCTATCGATGATCAATGTAGTGACAACGCCCGAGAAGAGACCGGCCTGAGAGTCAGCTTCAGAGAGAGACCGGGATTGAGAAAGGGCGGAGACGCACGAAGATCAGCAGACCATCCATGTCGCTGCGCCAGCCATCGATGAGACCCTGATCGTACTTCTCCGCCTCGGAGATGTAGACCCCCCAGAGTTTGTTCCCGCTAGCCCTCTCACGCTCGAGACGCTCTTCATCTTCGTTTCGTTTGTCAGTCTGTTTTTCGTCAGCTTGTGACATGGCCAAAAGCAAGAGGGGAACCACTTTGATGCATCAGCGCGCGGCGTTTCTCAATACACCCGGCCGCGCTGGAGTGATGCCACGGTTCACAGCCACCAAGCGCCCAACGCCAGAGTGGCGGGCTCAGAGACAAGCGCTCAAGGAAGCCAACACAAGCCCGGACGAAGATTGGCCGGCGGCGTACTGTATCCCAGGGCATGGCAGTTCATCGGCGCTCCCAGGAGATGAACAGATTGCATCAGGCACCAGGAAGATGTCATCGGTCCGAGGAGACGCCCATGTGTCCCTCCGTTGCTGCTGAGTCTCAGTGAGCAGACGGGAAGTCGTGAAGATCCATCCAGACGCATAGGTTCAAAAGAGAGAGAGTGGACTCAGACACGCCTGTCGCATGTGATATGATGCGATCGTCTTTTCTCTCGCAGCTCTTCCTGGAGTCAAATCATCATGCCCGATAAGATGCTCAGTCATATAGAGCACGACTCCCCTCTTAGAACCCGGCCACGATAGATCTCGTGGGCCCTGGAGCACCGCGCTCACACGGTCTGCCACCCCAGGGACCTCCAATTATTACGTAAAATGGCTTCGAGGCCCCCTCCGGAGGCCATCAAACCACCCCCTACCCCCCCTGATCGGAGGCCATCCTGGAGGCGCCTTCCTAATTGGGACGCTGCCTGGCCATTTGTCCACCGCTTGCATGGTATGCTAGGGATCGGCCTGAGTGCTGATATATGCTGTATTAGTCATTATAAAGCCTCAGACAATGTCTGACCTCTCAAAAGCATGTATTTCTTGCTTGCAAATGGCAGACCACTGGGTGCACAAAATTTGGGATCTGAGTATGTGAGCACTCCTCAGGTGCATAGAGCAACAGTATATGTATTAATTCAAGATTGAGCATGAGGTAGCTGTGCCCACACGCAAAAAATGAGATGTTGCTGAAGGGATGGTTTATGGCCTCCACGACCTCCCAGGTGCAGAAAAAAAGGTGTTGGGTAGCCCACAGGCCCTTGAATTCCGCTTCAATAGAACAATTTGATGCTTATGCTTTGTCAAAACAACAGCTCAGCATATAAATTGGATGTTGGAGCAGTGGCAGAACAAGCCTCCACCACCTCCAGGGCTGGGGATCAAAAGCGGTTACTGTAGATTTAGCCACACAAACTGTGTTCATGACATTATTTATCTTCATTGAGATGCACAGGATCCTTTAGAGTGATAGCTCAACATGTGAATTGGATGCTAGAGCAGATTACAGAAAGGCTCTCCACAGCCTCCACAGCCGGGGACTAAAAGCAGTTTCTTTGGATTTAGCAGCAGAAACTATGTGTTCAATGTCAGGTGTCTTATTTGAATGCCAAGGGTCCTCTATGGAGACAGCTCAGCATATGAATCAGATGCTGGAGCAAATGGCAGAACTGGCCTCCACCGCCTCCACAGGTTATTACTTGAAGAGTTGGGATGAGATGACAATGTAACAGACAGATATTCTCCTGGCTGACCACATTCTGTCATTTCCACCTCTAAATGCGAGTTGAATTGCTGCAGAATGTTAAAATGAGAGAATGGGGGACCCTGGAGGCGCTGGAGGCACATGCAAGATCCAATCAATATCATCAATATCATCAATGCCATCAATAGCATCAATAGCATCACCAATCATTGGTAGATTGATCAGCCAATCAGATGATGAATAAACATCAAACATCTAGTATATTCATTCCTGAGAGACACAGACTATATGTATGCTCATACTGAAAGTGGATTAGTGGTCCCAGGACATGCCCCAATGACATATTACATCCTTGTGTCAAGAACATATCATTGAAATTCGGATTTGGCAAATGAGCTGAAAGTACTCCACTGTACCACTCATCTTCAGTTGACTTTCAGTTCATTTGCAAACTCCGAATTTCAATGATATGTTCTTGAGACAAGGATGTAATATGTCATTGGGGCATGTCCTGGGACCACTAATCCACTTTCAGTATGAGCATACATATAGTCTGTGTCTCTCAGGAATGAATATACTAGATGTTCGATGTTTATTCATCATCTGATTGGCTGATCAATCTACCAATGATTGGTGATGCTATTGATGCTATTGATGGCATTGATGATATTGATGATATTGATTGGATCTTGCATGTGCCTCCAGCGCCTCCAGGGTCCCCCATTCTCTCATTTTAACATTCTGCAGCAATTCAACTCGCATTTAGAGGTGGAAATGACAGAATGTGGTCAGCCAGGAGAATATCTGTCTGTTACATTGTCATCTCATCCCAACTCTTCAAGTAATAACCTGTGGAGGCGGTGGAGGCCAGTTCTGCCATTTGCTCCAGCATCTGATTCATATGCTGAGCTGTCTCCATAGAGGACCCTTGGCATTCAAATAAGACACCTGACATTGAACACATAGTTTCTGCTGCTAAATCCAAAGAAACTGCTTTTAGTCCCCGGCTGTGGAGGCTGTGGAGAGCCTTTCTGTAATCTGCTCTAGCATCCAATTCACATGTTGAGCTATCACTCTAAAGGATCCTGTGCATCTCAATGAAGATAAATAATGTCATGAACACAGTTTGTGTGGCTAAATCTACAGTAACCGCTTTTGATCCCCAGCCCTGGAGGTGGTGGAGGCTTGTTCTGCCACTGCTCCAACATCCAATTTATATGCTGAGCTGTTGTTTTGACAAAGCATAAGCATCAAATTGTTCTATTGAAGCGGAATTCAAGGGCCTGTGGGCTACCCAACACCTTTTTTTCTGCACCTGGGAGGTCGTGGAGGCCATAAACCATCCCTTCAGCAACATCTCATTTTTTGCGTGTGGGCACAGCTACCTCATGCTCAATCTTGAATTAATACATATACTGTTGCTCTATGCACCTGAGGAGTGCTCACATACTCAGATCCCAAATTTTGTGCACCCAGTGGTCTGCCATTTGCAAGCAAGAAATACATGCTTTTGAGAGGTCAGACATTGTCTGAGGCTTTATAATGACTAATACAGCATATATCAGCACTCAGGCCGATCCCTAGCATACCATGCAAGCGGTGGACAAATGGCCAGGCAGCGTCCCAATTAGGAAGGCGCCTCCAGGATGGCCTCCGATCAGGGGGGGTAGGGGGTGGTTTGATGGCCTCCGGAGGGGGCCTCGAAGCCATTTTACGTAATAATTGGAGGTCCCTGGGGTGCGGTCTGCAGCAATATCAGATGGACATCTTGATTATCAGTGAAGGTGGGTGCAAACCAGTTCTTAGGGATATGTCGTTCTCACCGACCCAAAACCATTTGCGTACAAACGCCTTTCAGTCTGGGTGGTCTGAAGGAACGTATGTATTCATACCACGTGAGGCTTGTCACGAGACTCGAATGCAGTAAGCAAACTGACGCGTCGGGCATGGACTCCCACTTTTTGACCGGTTGTTCCCCATCATACTTGGAGGCAGCGCGTCTGGACGAGTTATACTTGGCGCATGCGCCGTGATCCTTCCACACTCTCACGTCGTCGAACTCGACTGGAAGACCAGATGCAGCCGTCGATGCCCGATGCACTGAAGCAATCGACACGATGGGGCAGTCCACCCCAAATCCTTGTTGCTTACGCCCTCGCGTTCATCTGCGCTATCATGTGCTTCGGTGCTGCCGTTCTCTGCCACGTACGATCCGTATACGGCGGAAAGTGGCGCGAGATTCAAAGCACCCTGACATGCTTGCTCAGGCGTCCTGGACACTCGATCCCGTTTTGGAGGGCTCCCAAGCGCCGCAACCGTGCAGAGGCTGGCGTTGATGGCGACATTCGAGGGCCTATGTGCTGCAGAAAACAGCATCGGGGGCACCTGGGCCACCTTCGGGCCGTCTACGAAACGGGCACAAAGCACAAGTCAATGCCCCGCACTTCAGTTTCATTGTCCGATTATGTCGTATTAGAATCATTTGTGTCAGTGGATCGCATACTCCCCGGTCTCGCGGAATCTGACGTTCCATTTCCCAGACCGTAACTGTTCTGGATGGGATTTGAAAGCACCCGATCTCTGAAACAGCACGTTCTCCTCTGGGGGTTGCTCATCACCGATTGCTGGCAGGTGAGTAGACTTGCTCGTGTCTGCTCTGTTTCGGATTTCATTGCGGCTCGTAGGCGCTGGCAAGATTCTCCCCGCCTTTTGTTGCTGCGAGCTACTACAAGACGTCGAGCAGTCCCTGGTCGAGAAGGGCGCCACCCCACAATCTTCAGGCTCGTCACTCAAGATGGGATTGCATTCACGAGGGAGTGGATGTCGACTATGTTTCGACATTTTTGTGCGTGGGCTGAGTTAACACGCGTGTCTGTCTAATCCACACCAACACGTCCAGCGCTTCTCTAAGCTCGCCAATGCTTCTGCGCACATTCCATCCATCTGTAACCATTCGGATGATCCTATGAAGAGCTCCTATGCGCTGTTGTTCTGGCTCCCTACGAGAGAGCATGACGACTAGTTTCCGTTCTGAAGCAGTTCCAAGTGCTTTGGTCTGAGATTGCTCGCTTCTCGGTGCTGTTGGCGCATGCTTGCTCCACGTTAGTGAGTAGTCTTTTGCGACTGTCTGTCCGTCTCTTCAGCTCAAACGCTCACAGATCATACTGTCTCACGTGGACATGCCCTTGTTCTGGGGCAGTCAAGCTCGTGCCGATCGCCCAGCGGCTGAAAAAACGGGCACGGCGTCTGTCAAGAATTGCGCAACAGCGCTGCAGTGATGATTCCAGATATCATCTTCGAGTCGACTTTGGTCGAGAAGGTCTTCAGCGGGAAGACGTATACATTGACGATGATAGCCAAGCCGACCAAAGCACCACCTTTCTGGCGCTCGTTATCGGATTCGCCCAAGCAGCATTTCACGGACATTTCGTCGCTCGCGGTTGTGCATTCAAGCTTGCTCAGCGAGCTGAATGGCTTCGATGTCCCGCTGAATGCACAGATCCAAGGCTAGTATGAGAGATTGCTACATGGCACAGTATCAGTACTAGCAGCAGCAAGAGGAGAAGGAGTACCAACAGCGGCAGCACGAGGAACGGTTTCACTTTTGCCATGAGCGAGAGATACGTCAGGAGAGCTTCGAATGTGGCGGCGGCAGCAGCAACAACGTCAACAACATCATGAACGATCTTATGCTCCCCTGGCTTCGCCACACAGGGTGTTTCGACTGGCGCACCAGGCGACTCGGTCCACTTAACGAGGAACCGCAGAAGCGACAGCGACAGCGACATCAGCGGCCAGCTACATTCTCCTCCTCGCCTTTGTCCTCGTAACACGCAGTGAACTGGAATGCCTCCATGGGCGTACGCACCTTACCCAGTCTGGAGGCTCTACCCTGAGACCGTGCACATGAACGCATCACAGCGTCTTTATCAAAACACTATCAGCAATAGTCTCCTCGGTCGCAGCTGCATCCTCAGCAACAAAACCAGTACAACGAGTAATACCACCATGACTGCCGGCTGGGGGCGGAGCATCTGGACTTGTATGACACCTTGCACGGCGCAATGCGTGGGCCACACGAACGGAGGATCTGAAACTGCGACAGTATCGGCGGACTCTGTGACGTTTGATTGGTCTGCGTTAGTGGCTCGAATCCTTTTCAGTCCTGGCGAATCTGACGTTCCTCTTCCCGGATCGTGACTGCGATCAATCGATTTTGAAAGAAACCGAGGTCACTCCCCCCTACCAGCTGTCCTTTATCGATTGGTGGCAGGAAGGTGGGCTTGCTTTCCTTTGCTCGGCTTTGGTGTTCATTCCAGCCCTCAGGCATGGCAACGGGTCGGCTGCTGACATACCGTGGCTTTTCGTTCACTGCGAGTTATTGCAGGACAATTCCCTGGGTCGATCAAGACGAGCTGTTGATATTCAGCGGGCAGACGCACACGCTAAGGACAAAGTGGCTGTCTCCGATAGAGAGAGTCCTGTGACGTGCTCCGATCTGCGTGACTATGACGACTGCAACAAACGTGTATGGACGTCACCCTCTGAGTCTGACATGTCTTGTTGACCGAGAGGATTAGATCGACGGAGGGTCTGATGCGCACTGAAGAGGATCTGATCATACATAGAGAACACACGGATGATTGTAGGTTAAATCAATAGAAAATGGCACCCTCTGTGATGGTCCCTCCACTGCCCGTCACTCACAAGCAGGACAGACTCGGGAGGAATGGTCTCGAGGAGGAGCCGGTTCTGTATCCATTCCCGGAGCCCTTGAGCATTGTCCCAGTGTGATTGCTGCTGATTGTCCGTCTGCACCTCCGACACAGCCACGTCCAGGACGCGCAATGAATCCACATTGGTCATCCACCCATTGTACGAGTCGTAATCATGGACGGCCCAGAGAAGCACCGAGCAGAGTCCGTCATCATCTGCAAGACAGTTTTCTGGATAACTGCGGATGAATTCAGACACAGCGTCAGCGAATCGTTGTTGCAGTGCAGTCGGGATCACGGAAGAAATGTCCTCGACTGCGTAGGGTATCGATTTAAGCGTCGCCCAGTCTAGGTCCTGTTCCGTTCGATGCGGATTCTGGGCCGTACACTGCTCGAAGAAAGTGGTCACAACGCCCACATATGCACAGTCGTAAACTTGCCGTGCCAATCGCCGCCCCGTCCGCTCGTCGTTGTCAAGGCTGAGCACGGAGCGGAACCAGGCCTCGTCGCCGAAGATACTCGGCAATTGGTCCCACTCCGACGAATGCAGCCAGAGACTTTTGAGCACGACGCTCTGAACGATGGCAGCCAAACGGTGCGTGGGGATGTCGTCTGCTGCAGTCCGCAGAGTGCGGAGGACCCGAAGATGGGTGTCCAAGTCTCTTGGTGGCAGATAAGACTGAAGCACGCGCCGATAAATCAGCTGCAGGGCGTCAACACACGGCTGGAGATTTGATCCGAATGTCATTTGGTCGCATAGCCAGTGGCACAGGACTCGGGTGTAATGATGGGTCGAGTTGAATTCCGGGTTGGAGGCGGCCAGGGATGGATGTCGAGCAAGAAACAGCCCTAGACCGGAGTGGTACCGTCCCCATGGATATTCAGATACCTGGGCAAACGGAGCGATCATCAGGCGAGCAGCAAAGACAACATTGTCTTCTGCTTTGTCCGACGCGTGTTCGATATTGTCCACTGCCTTCTCCAAATCAGCTGAAATCAGCTGTTCGAGAGCGTCCTGCAGAGTCAAGTAGCCATACGCATCCGTGAAGCGCATTTGTGACCGATGGAAGAGCAGATTGGTCGTATCCCGCTGGAAGCTGGCAGCGCATTTGGAAAGTGCCAGTAGATAATCCACATACGCGCGATGCATGTCTTGTTGCCGTCGCTTCTGCGCTTCGGCACGAATATCAACGTCGGAGCTGCTCGGCTGTGTGAGAGCCCGTTCGCTGCTCCAAGACTCGATGATGTTCAGATGGATCAGAGCGGACACGTCGGGGAGCATGCTCTGCCCATCATCAGAATCGATGAATTTTGAGCCGAGCAGCGCGTTGTCGACATCCGCTTCTCCGATGGGCCGTTGGAGAGGCGACCCCGTGTGAAGAGAGAACGCGCAGATGGCCCAGATGGCCCGGAGCACGGACAGCTGGCGGCGGACGCGGTCCTTGTGCTCGAGCAGATTGCTGTTGGAGCCAGCCATGAAATCAGCGAGACGCTGGCCAAGATGGACGTGCGGATCACGCAACAGAGACTGGAACAGTGCCTGATACACACTACGAGGCCTGTTTCGATCAAAATCCCACAGCGTCTGGGGAAGCCCCTCGACAAGTTTCTCGAGCTCCTCATCGTCAGACAGAGACCGGACGGTCCACGCGAGTGCCCGGGTTTCGGTCTCAACAGGGGGATGCAGTGCTGCTGATTTCAAGGCATCCACCATACTCTGCGACTGTGGACGAGTGTCGGGAGGTGCAGGAGACTGGGTAGAGGCATCGTCGTTTGTCACAGGAGATCCCGTGGGTTTTTCGAGGTCTGTCAGAGCAGTTCTCTTTCGAAAGACGGCTTTACAAACAGCCGCTGCGCTCCAAATATAAGCCCTCAGCGTGCTTCCCAAGCTCTGATTAAGCGACCAGAGGATTGGCGTGAGTGGCGTCTGGTACGGACAGTCGAGGAAGAATAGTGGGAGGGCTGAGAACGTTCCGTAGACCGCGACAAAGAGGCACAGCATAGCGGATGTCATGCCCATGATGATGATGTTGATGGGCACCAGAAACGCGACAAGACCTGCGAGGAATAGGACCAGTGACGCGTGCAAGAGAAGCGGGGGAACACCGACAACAGCATGGATATTGAAGCGTCGTAAGCCGTAGTACAGATACATGTACACACGTGCGCGGATAGAGGGAGACGAGAACATCGATGTCCGGTGCTGGTACTCCTGCGTCCACTGCTTGACCAAAGTCGCGACAAGGGCGCTTGACAAGCTCAGCGCGAGGCTGGTGAACCAGAATGCATTGCAGACGAGGGCTGAGATCGAGGGTGAGAATGGAGCGGTGGGAGGGAGTGCGTCCGCCATTGCAGTCCCGTTGTTCATGTGCGCGAGCTGGAGCGAGATCTGATTGAGGAGTGCGACGGTCTGGCTCCCTGAGTCGGGGTTGAGCGTCTTGTAGCTGTCAATGATGAATGTGGTGACGACTCCTGAGAAGAGACCGGCCTGACGAGTCAAGCTCAGAGGATGACCACGATCGAGAACGATCGGAGACGCACGAAGATAAGCAGACCATCCATGTCGCTGCGCCAGCCATCGATGAGACCCTGATCGTACTTCTCCGCCTCGGAGATGTAGACCCCCCAGAGTTTGTTCCCGCTGGCCCTCTCACGCTCGAGACGTTCTTCATCTTCGTTTCGTTTGTCAGTCTGTTGTTCATCAGCTTGCGACATGGTCAAAGGCAGGCGGCAAACTGCTGTGCCCCCCTTGCTCAAGTAGCAGTTCTCCATACACACTGCCTTGCTGGAACAATGCCACGGCTCACAGCCCCCAAGCATGCAACGCCAGAGTTGCAGATTCACACACCGGCGCCCAAGGAAGCCAACGCAAGCTTGGACAGCACGCAGATTGGCCGGCGGCGCATCCCAGGGTATGGCAGTCCATCGGCGCTTCTAGGAGATTGACGGATGGCATCAAGCACTGGGAAGACGGCGCCGGTCCTGGGAAGCAGGAGAGAGAGTAGACTCGGACGTTGGACTTGGTCGCATGCGCTGTGATGCGATCGTCCCATCTGTTGCAGCTCTTCTCCAAGGCGCACTGCCATATCCAATGCGATGTCTTGCCAGGCAGTCGAGAGCTTTGATCTTCCTAACCCCGGCCGAGATGGCTCTCCCCATGGTGCACGGTGCACGCATGCTCTACAGCAACAACAGATAGACGGTCGTTCTTCGCCATGAATACAGTGCGCGCCCATCCTGTGAGTGATGCAGATCGCATCGAATCGAAACTGATTGTTTGCAAACGCATGTCGTTCGGAATCCTTCGGATGGCTTCGAGAAACGCAGGGTGTCAGACCACGTGAGACACTCGTCACGAGTTTCCGATGCGACTCGACAGCAGCGACATCGTGGACAAGTCAATCTTTGGAATAAGCACTTGTTCTCATGAGGCAAGCCCCGTGGATATCCGACACTGCCGCCACGTCAATTCGACTGGACCCCATGATGCGCCAAAACAGTCGACACAAGGGGATTCAAGTGCCTATTGGCACTGTCCGCGACCTCGCTTTGCTCCATGTTATCCTGTGCTTCCATGGACTGACTGACGTGCGAACGCCAATCCCTGCAGCCCACGATCCGAATGCGGCGAAAACAGACACAAACGCGGGTTGCTCAGAGATCCAGCGTACTCTTTTGCGCTCACTGCAGCGTCGTGTCGAGAGCACCTTGGCTATCTCTGGACTGGCTGCGAAACGGGCATAAGGCTGCCTAACATGTTGTTTCTCTTTCCAGACCGTGGCTGCGCCAGATCGGATTTCGGAGCACCCAGAGGTCCATCCATGATGCGCTGTTCGTCTGGGAGCTGTGCGTCACCGATCGTTGCCAGGTGAGTCGGCTTTCTTGTGCTTGCTCCGTGTCAGTGTTCATTGCGGTTCTCAGGCCCTGGCTCCGTGTCTGCTGCCGATATGCATGCTGTCCTTTGTGGATGGCGAGCTAGCGCAGGACGGCGAGCAGTCCCTGGTCTAGGACGATGAGTCCCTGGATGGCGACAATACATCGACATTTTGCGGCGTTATTTAAGTCTGAGGCCCTATGTGTGTCTGTCTCATCGGCGTATTCGGCGCTTCTCTGCGTTCATCGATCTTTCTTCGCACATGCCATCTCCAACCGCCCGAACGATCCTGTGACATCTCTTGTGCGTCGAACCCAGCGGCCGACAAAACTGGTGCCGCATCTGTTCAAAGAATCGCGAAACGACACTGGCGATGATAACGACCGACATCTTCGCATCATCCCAAGTCAAGAAGGACGAGCTGTCGATTCGCGGCAGAAGGATGCATACGTTGACAACAAACGCTAAACCGACAGAGTTCCTGGCGCTCGTCATCGGATTCACCCTGGTAGCGTTTCACGGACAATCCGTCGTTCGCGGGAGTGCATGCGAGACTGGTCGAAGAGCTGAACGGCCTCGAAATCCCCCAAATGGTCAGATCCAGGGACGGTATATGACACATTGCCAGAGACATGGTATCAGTACCGGCAGCAGCATCAGCCGGCCTTCATCCTCGCACCATGCAAACGGTCCCCCATGCCAGTCACAGGCATTCGCACTCTGATCCGTCCAATAGCGGTGCCACTGCGACGGTTTCTACGAGCGCATCGTCTTTGGCAACACACCACGAGTAGCAGTCGCAGTCGCAGCTGCAACCACAGCCTGCCACTGCCGGTTGTCGGCAGTGCATTCCGACTCGCATAACACCTCGGACGGCGCGATGCGTCTGCCGGCGGTAGAGGACGTTAGATTGCGAGAGTATGGGCAGCTATTGAAGGCCGGATCGCCGGGCAGGATCAGCGGATGCCTGTCCAGACGCAAGGTTCAATGCGTTGCATGTTCATCCTTGCGTGCAATGAGGGTGATTGTGATTTGTCGATGTGTGCTTGGGAATTCTATGGCTCGGAGGCAGTCGCGCTCTGGGATTGAGACACGGCAGCGGAAGCAATTGCCGCAGGGAGCATGGGACCAGGAGCGAATGTGCTTGGTCAGCGGGATCATGATTCGTACACTGGCGTGGGTATTCATTGACTGAGGTTTCCCTGCTGTCGTTGTCGGAAACAACGCCAGAACGGAGCACTCAGTCGAAACCTCGCCAGAGCTCGATCTTTGCCGCACGAGAGAGCACTACCTGACGTGGTGTGTATAGTATATATGCATATATCTACCAATCTACATCAGGCATAACGAGGAGTCTCATTGGCCACTTCAGCCATCATATCGTCAAAGTCGTCGAGAACACTGGATATTTGACCCCGTGTCAGATTTAACACAACGCACGCAATCGCATGGCCGACTAGTAAGATGAGCTTATATTTCTGCCGTCAGCTCAATTCTTAGGATAGAGACCGCTCTGCTGGATTACACTGTAACCCTGATGAAATCTCTGCTAGCTGCAACGCTCCAAGGTTGGAGCTTGAACTCTCTAGCCCAGTCCGTCTAAATTGCAAGGATTGCCAACTGACTGATCGGTTATTAACCGAGCGGTTATCAATTGCACGGCACTCAGGGCTCTATCGTCATCCCGAGTTTGATCGTTTCCTCTCCTCTCACACATTGCTAGAACAAACTGGCTATACCTGTCAAGGCACCGGTATAGGCCTATCTCGGACACTCAGTATAGAACTAAATTTATCCGTCTGATTCTCGCTAAACTAGCGCGGGTGGAGTTTACTCGTGGGAGCATCTCTCCAAATCACACACATTCGAGATCGCTGTCGTATCTCAAGTACGCTGGAGTGAAATCTCGGCTTACAGTTGCCTAATCTCCGAGACCTTCCCGAGATCGACAAACAAAGACAGGTTAAGTTGAAGTGACCGATTCGGTGCCCGGTTGCTCTGATACTGTCGAGGTCAGTCCTGCGATGGAATAATATGCTCGCTAAACGTCTACATTGAAGAAGCCGATGATCGTACAATTGGCAAGGCCAAGAACAGTGCTAGTAAAACTCCAGAATCCGATCGCCAGGACCGAGGATCGTTCTCTGCTACCATCGGAGGGTGTAGCCAGAACCGACCCTAATTCGAGAAAGTGTATGCTTGCTCAAAACGCTCAGAAGCCGATCCAGCGCATGTGCAACCATCCAGAAAGCTTTGGCGAGCTCCGTGGTTTTCTCCAAGGAGAATGAGAAGTAGTGCAGGCGCTGCGGTTCCTTGACCGTCTATCTCCCTGCTCGGTATTGGGCCTGAGTCGGACTTCCGGGACACTTTCGACCTAAAGCTGTATACCTCACACGTACTCTCCCCTTTTGAGCGTAAAATTCGAGCCACAGACAACTACAGAGGGCAAAAGTACATTTAATACGTGCACGGACCAATCATTCGGCTGTCACTTCATCGGACCCCGGTTGGGATTGCGTCAGCGCCGGCAATGAAAGAGTCACGGGCAGTATTCCTACTCTCATCAAATCCGCCGTCTATATGGCGCGAATCTTCCATCTGAGTGGACCTTGGCAAGCAACGACACATGAATTTGGACTGCAAAGATCATAGTGAGAAGCAACGTCTACCAGCGCTGAAGGCCCAACGTAAATCACGGTCGACGGCTGCGGCGTGCAGATCTCTTTTGGCTCTGTGATTTTACGGACTGGCTCTTCTTCGCCGCTGACAACCCAGTGGGTGGGTAGAACCAGCCCCGCAGGCATTTGAAATTGTGGGTATGTCCACGAGAACAAGGCCTTAGATTACGGTATAGGCTCGCAGACGAACCAGACACCGCTGCTCATTGTGGAGGAACGCCTCTCAGAGCTCGAAACCCAGTTCTCGACGAACCAGCGAGCTGCTAGGAGCGTCTGGAAACTCGAACACAAGCTTTGTGAGGCAGTTACTCGCGTTGCTGACAGCAGATCATACTATTGCCCAGGCAGAACCCCGGGACCATTCGGAATCGTGATGTTTCGGTCGCCGACGTACTGAATCCGGGCCGAGTGGGCGTTGTACGACGTCTCCGTGAGCAGCAGACCCGAATCCTGCCTTATCTCATAGATCGACGTCGCACTGCCCGGGCCCACGACCCCGCCGGCGGCCGTGAACGCCGTGGCGTCGGTGAAGTGCACGACGTCGAAGTCCGCGAAGGCGACGAGCCCGAGGTCGCTGCCCACGGCCTCGACGATCCACTCGGCGCCGCTCTGGCACAGCGGCGAATCCGGCGGCGCGATCAGGTCCTGGGTGCGCACCCAGCCCTGCGAGTGGTTGACGAGGCTGACGGTGCCGGACGAGGCGGATGTGACGGTCGCGTTCACGGTCACGGCGTCGCCGATGTTGACGGTCACGTCGTACCAGTCCGACTCGAAGCCCGGCCAGTACTCGTACCAGGCTGCGGCGCACGTCAGACCGTGTGCAGAGCGCGCGCGCGGAGAGAGAGAGAGAGAAGAACACGCACGGTACATGTCGACGTGGTTCGGGAAGTACGGGCTCCAGTAGAAGTCGATGCCGGTCTGCAGGATGGCCGTCTCGCAGATGGTCCCGTCGATCCCGACCCACGCAGACGACGCCGAGTTGTCCGTTTTCGCGGGTCCGTCGGCGAGGTTCGGCACGATGAAGCTTCCAGACACGCTCTGGAACGTGCCCTGCGCGCGCCGACGGTAAGCGCTCCAACTCAAAGATATGCGCGGCGGGCGACTCACGTTCGCCGCCTCGACGACCACGCCGGCCCAGTTGTGGCTGTAAGTTGTATTGGGAGTCTTCGAGGGCGTGCGCGCGTCCAGCCTGGGGCCGTGAATGCTGGGGACGTCGGCAAGGATGGGTCGCGCGTGGGTCGACACGGGCGGGAGCCCGCGGCGGGCCATCCGCGCATTCAGGCGCTCCGTGCTGGTGGGAACCGCCAGGGTAGCCGGGGCAGCCAGTAGAGCGAGGAGCGAGGCCGGGAGCAGCAGCATCGTTTCGGGGTGAGAACCTCGAGGAGATCGTCGTCGATAGATCCTCTCTTTATGATTTCTTCTACTAGCTATTCAGTCCGACGTCCTGCTTATCTCGACGATGGGGGGGACCATGTGGCGAACGGGAAGCAACATTGTTGACCATGTGTGGCTGACGGGCTCCGGAAGTGTTACGCACATCGATAATGGTAAGTAGCATCAAGCAGAGCCTGGGCTAGACGCCTGCGATGCAGATTATTGACCCGGGAGGACATCATGTGTCTGATTCAAGTTTGAGTTACAAGTGTAAAAGTCAAGTCAGGAAGGTAAACTCTAACTTATGTAGGCGGATTTACGAAATCACGGCAGTCTTTGTCATTCACTACTTAAAATTTTCGTAACACTTCCTGGCTGGAAGTTGGCATTCTGGTTGGCGGTCAGCCTATCTACACAGTGTCCAGCAGAGTGTACCCAGCCCGAAGAATCCTCGCGCCTCAGGTATGCCCGCCAGAGTACGAGAGGGGTTACACCTAGCCACACACCTGAGAAGGGCTCACGACGCTTTTCTACGCTTTCGGCCGTTCGAGGACCGTTGCTACGCTCGTTAGCTAGGACCAGGTCTGGCCTCCTCCAAGGGACATCGAAGCTGTTGGGCAACCGGAACGTCGCAGGTGACCTGATGGTGTTGGCAGAAATCTGATTTTGGGCTGTAGCAGAAGTTCGATGTGTGCCTGGATTTACTAGGGTGTGTCGCCCCCAAACGGTTGGTGTGTATAGTCCCCGCCTGCCTTGGTACCCGTTCATTGTCTGGATCCGATTCCATGGAGGCCCTTTAACCGTTGGGGACGTGTCCAGAGACTTGCTTGATGGAGGGTCTGGCCAGACTTCTTAGGCCCTGCGGAACCTTTCTCTTTTCGTGCCAGCTTCGGCTGCTACTGCTCTTGTTGAATGAAAACAGGCCGTTTATCTGGTGGGATACCCGATTACGCGGTTATCTTGACCCGCCCGGGCCCACTGCGGCTGTTCAGTCGGCAGGCGCTTGTGCACTTTGGCATCGTGTTTCCCGCTACTCAAAATGATGCACGAGTTAGCTCTCTGCCCTGGTCGCGTCTGATGATCAAAGTGTGTGTGTTCGAGGCCTCTACTCGATCTAATACACGCCAGGAATCAACGCGTAGGGGCAGCGGTCCGCCCACGCCAGCCACTGTGCGCCAAACTGCGCTTTGAGCGCCGCATCCTCCTTTGCCATGCGACCCGCGAGGCCGGAGACGATGACGGACATGAGCGACATGTAGCCGAGCCCGAGCATCCTGCCGGGGACGCTCCCCCGGTACACGCACTCGACGGCCCACGTCCCGGGGCTGCTGAAGTACAGCACGAGCCCCGCATAGACGAGCAGCGCGCCGGCGTACGACGGGTGGCGCACGACCGCGTACGGGCCCGCGGTGACCAGCTCGTGGTTCTTGAGGATGCCTGTCTCGAACGTGAAGTGGCGCCCCAGCGCGCGGTAGCACGCGAGCCGGATCAGCGCGCCGCTCGCGATGAGCAGCATCCCCAGCACCATCGGTGCGGACGCGCTCGCGCTGATGCGCCGCGCGTCGCCGCCCAGCGCCGGCATCATGTCGGCGGGGAGCACGAGCGAGAGCGTCTCGGCGAGTGCGATGCACCAGTACAGGATCTGCGGATTCGGTCAAGCACGCCGCACATCGCCGCACAGAGATAATCGGGGGACGCACTGTCGGCGAATGCCGCATGTACGGCGAGACGAGGACCCATTCGACTGTGGTCGGGGTCACCGTCCGATCCGAGTTTTTGAGGGGTGGGTTGGGGGAGGTGGACGCGACGTGCAGGCCCGCGGTCGCGGCCAGAACACAGATGAGTTTGGGGAGAATCTCCATTGGAGTACAATCGCGAACCCAGCCCACGTTGTTTATAGGGGGAGGCATGTAGTGCGGGGGCGTGCACGGGAGAAGCACGGCCGCGAATCTCGATCGCTTTGAGTGTTTCTGTTCCACGCGCCACTGTTGCATTGCCAGAGAGACGACGGCTGCTAACCGGGTGATATGCTCCTGCCAGCCAGCGAAGGGTGTCAAACGAACCTCGCTCCTAAGCGCCTAGCGTAATTCATCTCTCACAGATACCCAGCAGCCGCTCAGTGAACGTGGCGAATCGCAGGTGGAATGGATATGCCGACATGACTGTGGGATAAAGAAGATCCGATTTAATCTCACAGTTTATCGGGGCCACTCTCTAATCTACCCAGTGCTCCTTTTGATTCTCTGGGTGATATTTAACGATGGGGGCGGAGCATGTCTGCAACCTCCAAGATCATGGCAGGGCTCCTCGCGCGTCCCACGTCCACCGAGCTGCAAGCGTGCTGGGAACTCTGCCGCCTGCACAACAACATCGGCTTCTGGGTCGTCTGGCTTCCGACCGGTATGTTTCTTCTTCCACAACCTCGGAAAACGAGATTCTCAGGCTCGCGCGTGATACGCATCGCCTCGCTTCAGCTTGGTCGATCGCCATGGCCCTCAAAGCGCAGCCGGAGCTCCCGCTACGCGACGCCGCGGCGCGTGCGGTGCTCTACGTCCCGCTGTGCTTCGGCGTCAAGTCGCTCATCATGACCGTCGACGACCTCCTCGACTACGACATCGACGCGCTGGTCGCGCGCACGCGGGACCGGGCGTTGCCGCGCGGGGCGATATCCCGGGCGCGCGCGTGGGCCTTCTTCGCGCTGCAGGCTTCGCTCGGCGTTGTTTTGGCGTGCGGGGTGCTGAGCCGGACGGCGTGCGTGGGCGAGAGCATCTCCGGTTGCCGATCTCCTCCGGACTCATCTGACCTGACCCTAGGTTGTACGCGTCGATGACGGTCTGGCCGCTGTATGTCATATATCCGACCTGCAAGGTGCGTTATGTTCTATGTTTTATCCGTTGCACAGAGCAACTCTGATGGGCTTTTAGCGATGGACAAATCTCGCACCGGTTCCACTCGCAGGTGTCCCCTTTGAGCCCATGTTCATCTTATCTGACAAGCCTAAATAGGGGCTGATGTTCAAAATCGGAGTCTTCATGGGATGGAGCGACGTGAGCGTCGACGGGAGCGTAGCGTGGCATGTGCTGATCCCAGTCTACCTCGGCGCATGCTGCTGGACGCTCACGTACGAGACGATCTACCAGCACCAGGTGAGCCCTGCATTGCAAGCCACCTCGGGGAGAACCCCGCGCTGAAACCCCGGGCCGCAGGATAAACTGGACGACCGGCGCCTCGGGATCCACTCGCCGGCGCTGCTCTGTGGGGCACAGACGATCCCCGTGTGCACCGGCACGGCATGCGCGTTCCTGGGCCTGCTGACGTACGGCGGCGCGGCGAACGGCCACGGGGCGCTCTTCTTCGGCGCCGTGGCCGTCGCGGGCGCGCTGCTCCTCTCTGCGCTCGCGGGAACGGACATCGATGCGCCCGCGGACTGCAAGAGATTTTTTCTCAAGACGCCGATGATTGGGCAGATTATCCTGGCGGGCTTGGCGGCGGATGTGCTGTGGGAGCGCGCGGCTGGTTGGCGCGGGGTGTAGTGCAGACCGATGATTTTTTTTTCGTTGTCTGTTTAGGAATAATATCCCGAAGCTCCACGGCGGGGAACCAGGTTTCATGAGATCCGGCGCGACACCCGCCAGCCGGCCAATGCATGTTCTTCGATTCGCCATGTTAGATGAGATGAGTATCGTGTCAACATACACGCGCTTGACACATTCTTCAAGTTTTCGCAGTCTTCTTCATCTTCATCTTAATCATCGTCATCTTTTTTTGCTGTTCTTCTCAGAGTGAGTCTCACTCAACAGAAAATCCCACGGGGCTGGATAGCGCAGTCAGTCTGACTTCCAAGATGGAAATGAAGACCCCCACTCGGACCTGACACTGCTCGGTCAGCCCGTGCATAACTTCCTCCGGGTTGAACGCGGAAACAGCGTGCCCTATTGCCGCATCACCAGATACATCCCCTCCCACGCCCGGACGGCCGGGAAAATGATCGATCCCCCTTAGATGGGGGTCCGCATCCGAGTGTGCGATCTCAGAAGGCAGCGCCGGCAGCGCCGGCGGCCTGGACGAGTGTATCTGCGCCAGGCTTCGCCGCAGGTTCTGCTGGGGCCCTCAGGCTCTCGTCTGCTCGGGGTACGACCAACGACAAAACGCTGGGAAAAAACACAGTGACGTAGCGGCCTCGCGATGGGTTCTATCCAGAACGCGAAGCTCGGCGTTTTTCCCCGTGCGGCTGGCTGCCCTCCTTCTCGACGCGATCCTAGGGGTGTCGCCGCCTGAGCCAAGGTGGAGCTGTGCTGTGCCGTGCCGTGCGAACTGGCGTCGTCTGATTCGACGCGCGCGCGGGCGCCGATCCTGCTTCTGTTTCTCGGCATGGCAGAGGGAGAGCAAGCGAGGAAGGAAAAGGAAAACAGGCCCGACTGCTCGGCTCTTGATCGCGCCACCGTCCTGAGCTTGGCTTGGCTCAGCGGCGTCGCGTCATTAACATTGATCGATCATCACCGGGTCACGAGATCGCGTTCCCACTGAACTGATTCAATTGTCGCTCTCTCTCTCTTCTCTTTGACTCACCGATCCGATTAGATTGTAAGCAAAATTGACCCCCTTCCGAAGGGGACACTCGTCTGTGGGAGCGCAACGCCGCGTGGACATTGCCTCATGGGATCTCGGCGGGAACGTTTCGAGGGTGCGCCTGCACGTAATCTCGTGCCTGCGTCCTTTCGACCTGTCCTCAAGACTGTACGCATCTCGCGTCTGCACTCGAAATGCACGTCTGATCTTGCTTTTTGCTGTGACAAGGTGAATCCTCCATCAATCTTTCGTTCAAACTGACTCCCGCGCATCTATCACGATTCTGGGGTACAACTACCGACAGAGGCTTAGGAGAGGGCTGCTGTCGCGCCCCGATTGATGCAGGAATCGAATAGCTCACTTGCTGCAAACAGACGATCGTGGCCCTCAAAACCCGTGTTCTGTCAATGCCCACAACGGGTTGTTGAATGAAACTCCGTTACAAATGAAACATATGTGCTAACACCCTCGTCAAATAGATCAAATCACATAGATAATTCACCCTGTCCTTCATTTTAGGTCGGGCAAGTCGACGAAAACTCCACCCCGTTGTAAGGTCCTGGCGCAACGAATCAGCAGACGCTCGAGATAACAGACAAGCAAACCAACCATCGTGGTTAGCCTCGTCGCCGTCAAAGATATTCGGGACATCCCCAACGATGCACAGCGTGCTGGTATTGTCCATGCCGGGGCACGCCTCCCACGCGCCCGAGTCCTGGATATGTATCTCGCCCGTCGGGTGCGCGTAGCCGAGGAAGCGCCCCGGCAGGATCGGAATCAAATCCTCCTTGTTGTTGATGTGCGTCACGATGTTGCCGATGCTCGCCTGCGTCGCGAACGCCGTGTTGCCGACGCGCGGCAGGCCGTAGAGGATCGCGCGGAACGTCACGCCCGGGATCCACAGCGGGAGGTAGACCGACGAGAGCAGGCCCAGCGCGCCGCCGAGGCTGTGCCCCACGATCGTCACCTTGCTGAATCCGGACGTGCTCAGCGCGGTCTTGACCGCCGCGAGGACGTCGGTCGCCGTGCTGTGCGAGAGAAAAGAGAATCAGACGAGCTGTAACGGGCGGGAAGAGGAAAGCGCAACGCACGCAGCATGGTCGTTCACGAATCCGGTGTGCGCCTCGATTCCGGACGGGAGGCCCGGGAAGAGCGTCGGGTCCAGGGCCTTGAGGAGGATCTCCCCGTCCTCGACGAGAGACAGGCTGCGCAACGAGCGTCATCGGTCAGTTGCGACACGTGCGGCGGGAGGTGCGACTTCAACGCACATATGGCTGGGATCTGTCCCCTGGTACGACACAATCACCGTCTGCAGAGCGGGATCGTACCCCACAAACCAGAACTGCACCCCATTCCCATCCCCGCCCGATGCGACAGGACGGAATCCGGGGTTTGCATCACACAGCGCTGCGTGACGTGACGGAAATCTCATCAGCCGACTGATCTGCCATCGATAAGCAGGAGAGCAGATCACGCACGCCCACAGGTCCAGGTCAGCGTCGCCGATGCCGCGCAGTACCCCGCGGCGGCGTAGTTGCTGTACGGGGTGAACGCGTCGATCTGCGCGGTCGACAGCGTCGTGATCGCCTGGCGCTTCTCGGACCGGCTTCCGGCCGGCACAGGGGCCGGGCTCGCGGCGACCAACACTGCTGCGGTGAGCAGACTCGTGAGCTGGCGGAGGAGGACCATGGGCGGATCGGATGGGTTTCCAGCGGGGGTGTGCTGCAACGCGACCGTCCGTCTCCTTGGTTCCCCTTCTTTTATGGTGGGGGATCCCCCCTGCTCAGTGGGAGGGCCCCACGTTCGTGCTTCCGGAATCTGTTTCTCATGTGCTGGCATGATTGCTCATCAGCCGGCAACGCGGGATATTCTGCTCACGCGGCCGTCCGCAAACACCTTCTTGCCTGTTCTCCGACGCACGACATCAAAATACAGGGCCACATGGAGGACTGCGGATGCCAATCTGCATAGAGAAGGCATTCTTATTTGTTATATTAGGATGCGATGTTCTGAAATAGAGCAGGCACGTTGACAGCTCACGCGTTCACGTTCAGACCATGGTCAGTCAACTGCCCATCTGCCCGCGCTCGTTCGAAAATACTTCTCAGTCATGTGGCCGAACGACGCTGATGGCAAATGGGAGGAAGGCACTTTCAGATGAGGGATCGGGTTATGCAAGGCCAAGCAATTCCAGGAAGCGGCTTCAGCTCGAATGCACTGCACAAACAGCAACCTTGGCCACATGGCCCTTTACCGTGATCGACGGGCTAAATCTGAGAAGGGAAGTTGTGCGTCACGTAGGAGTAGACACCCGCAATGCAGTCACAGCAAATGGGATAGCTTGATCCTTGAGCCACACAATACAACGATAAATATCAACGTAAATGAATGTGTTGAGGCGCGAATAGTTCAGATTTAATAGCAGTGAGATAGGCACACAACATGGATTAGTCACTGAGCAGGCCCAGTGTGGCTAACATAGCATTACGCTGCAACAACAACAAAAAAAGTCAGTCAGTCGGTTCTAGAGTCGGAAGACTGCCGACTCACATCATCAGTATTATTATACACGGTCCCAGGCAACGACGACGGCCGACTGGGCGCCGAGCTGAGCGCGCCGCCAGGGCTCTGCTCAACATATGACTGTCTCCGCGTGGGGATATCCGTGATGCCCAGCATGGAGTACAGCTCTTGCTGCGCCTGGTCCAGCGCCCTCGTCTCGGAATTCGCGCTCGACACGGCCGACAGGCCCGAGGTGCGAATCTCGTGCGGGCGCGGTATCGGCGGGACCGGCGGGATGTCCATGTCGTCGAGTGCAGGCCCAACGCTGCTGCTCACTGACGACCGCCGCGAGCGCAGCCCCGTCTTCGACATGCGGATGCTCGACTTCTTCGACGCCAGCACACGGCTCGACCGGCGGTTGTTGTTGTTGGTGTACCCGCCCGGACTCATCCGCTCGCTCAGGTCGTCCAGCTCGTGCGCGACGTCCACCGCCTGTGTCCACGCCTCGTCCCGCTCCGCCTGCAGCATCTCGATCTGCGCGCGCAGCGCCTCGCTCGCGGTGATCTGCTTCAGGAAGCTCGCGTTCAGCTTCCGCAGCGCCATCGCCAGCGCGCTCGACGAGTGCACGTCGCGCAGCGACGTCAGTTGCGTGATCTGCTCGTCGGCCGAATGCAGATCCTCCGCCAGCCGATCTAGCTCGGCCGAGATCTCCTTCACGCTCTCGACCACGCGCAGAATCTCGTCCACCTCGATGGACGCATCGAGCGACGCGAGCAGCCCCGCGCGCTTCCGCGTCAGCATCTTGTAGCGCGTCTTCACATCCGTCCGCTGCATCTCCAGCCGATGCAGCTCCTCGGGGATCTCCACGTCCACCGTGTCCAGATTCAGCAGCCGGATCGACGACGCCTCAGACGACTGCCGGATCGCCCGCGAGACGATGTCCTGCAGCTGCGACGACGAGAACGTCCACTTGGCCGCCTCCATCGTGTACCCGCGCCACTTGATCGGCGGCGTCTGGAACCGCGGCGCCGTGGACGTCACTCGGCGGCCCCCCGGCGTGCTGGCAACGGACGAAACAGATCCATTCCGGTTGCGCGGGCCTTGGAGCGCCGCGGCGGCCGGCCCAGACGTGCTCGGCCGCCGCGGACCGACTGGCAGAGGCGGCCGCGCCCGACTGCGCCGGGAGGGCCCAGGGGTGGCGACGACGGATTGCACAGAAAGGCGCGGCGTGACGAACTGATCGGAATCCGGTGTCGAGTGTCCGTCGTTCACCGAATACGGCGGAGGCGAGCCCAACGCTGGTGCCGCCTCGTCGGAAGATTTAGTTGACGAGCGGCGGGAGAGGGGCAGGGGCTCGGTGTGTGGCGAGGCCGAGACCGAGACCGAAGCGGCAATCGAAGCTGCACGGAGCGATGTCGAGGAAGCCGCCCCGGGCATATCCATCTCCAGCTCAGACTCGACGGGAGAATTCGGCATCGCGGGGAGTGGCTTCTGGCGCTTGGAATCCTCGACTGGCTCCGCCTGCATGGACGCTTGCGACAACCTCTGCGCTGCTCTAGATCGGAAGGATTGCACCGATGCAGAATACACAGATGCGGAATCCGGCGGTTCAGATGGCGTGCGCAATTCTTCGACCGTCTCCGCCTTTGGCTCTGGCTCTGGCTCTGGCTCTGCCTCCTCCTCCTCCACAACGACCATCTGCTGCTTTTCTTCATCACAGAGAGGCCCCTGGTCCGGTGATACAGGCAACATGTCCTTGACTGCAGCGCTCACACTCGCACTCGGCCAGATCGCGGTGCTCCGATTCCTCGCGCGCGACTGCCGTCCTCCCCTCACAGACGTCGAGGCCCTCGAAAGCAACACCTGCTGCGCGAGACTCGGCAATTCATTCGCCGACGCGGTGCCCGTGGAGGGAGGCATCATCGAATGCCGCTGCTCGCTGTCGATGCCCGAGCTGAACAACGGGCTGAACGCACTCGGGGTCTCAGGGAACGACTGCTGGCGGCTGAAATCGTATTCCGTCGCGGGCGTCGACCCGGCTGACGACGGCTCTGCGCGCTGCGTGACCGTGATGTTGTACGCATTGGGATCGCGCGAGTCGCGCACGACTTGGATGGGGCTCGGGGCGCCGCCTGCGCGTTGGCGGGCAAAAATACCTCGCGGGGGAGGCAGTAACTCGTTATCGTCGCCGTCGTCGCCATCATCACCATCGAGTTCCTCGTCGTCCTCGTCAGTGGCTGCGGAGGACGGGCGGAGCGAATTTGTTGGAGGAATCGTAAGCGGGGAGGGAACCATAGTCATGTTCCCAGACGGTGTTCGTGGCAGGATGCGCACGTCGCCAGGCCATCGTGCTGTTCAAGATAATATAATGAGCTGATATCTCAACTGAATAGTAAAACGCACCACTGGCTGGAGACGGAGACGGAGAGGGCGCCAGCGACTTCGCACCCGTCATCCGCGACCGGATCGAATCCGGTGATAGCTGGGACTGGGACAACGAGTCCTCCTCCGTTATCGGAGAGAACGCGGGCTGGAATCGCGCGGGACCCAGCAACTGCGGGCCCTCAAGCGGTCCAGAATCAGGACTCGGCGGATCGAAACCACTCCGGTCCGACCCTCCTCCTGGACTAGAATCAAAGTTGTAGTAGTCGAGCACGTCCCCGATATCACGGGAAGAGCGCGCTTCAGACGTGGCCGCGGTGGATTCCTGGCCGGGCGAAATAGGGAACGCCGACAGGGACAGCCCAACGTGCACCAGGGGAGGACGCGACGGCGTCGTCGGCTCGGACTCTGCATTCTCAGACGCGGGGGGGTCGAGAGACACAGGCGAACTGGATTCCGTGATCCGGGATACGGGTGTTTCAGACACCGCAGTGTCCGGAGTCCGAGCCTCCGCGCCCGACCTAAACCCAGCACCGGGACTCCTCTCGCTCTCGTCGTCGACGCGCAGGCGGTCCCGGGACTCCGCGATCGCGCGCTTGACCTCGGCCGGCAGATCCGGCATGGGCGGGACCACGCCGTCCGCATCGAGCGGCGTGAACGTGCCGCTCAGCGGACCGCTCCTGCGCCCGGGCGAGAAGAGAAAGTCGCCGCGCGGGAGCGTGGCGGAGTCGGAGCGCGTGAGGACCGACGCGCCGCTGCGGTAGCGCGAGGACCGGTCGTGGGAGAGCACGAACGCGTCGCCGATGAGGGCACGCGCGAGTGTCGTGCCGGAGATCGCCGACGCGCCTTCCAGCGAGAACATGGATTCCGGGCGCGAGACTGTCGAGGCGGAGCGGTCGATCTGGACCTTGGGTGCGTGGATCGCGACGTTGGGGATTTTGATCGGGGCGGGCGCGCCCTTGCGATTTGACAGCCCTGTCATCTGCTGCTGCAGAGTGAGATGCAGAACGAAGGGGAGAATGGGCCAGGGGAACTCGCCTGGGGATTCAGCACATCGGCATCCAGCACATCAGCATCATCATCATCATCCTCGTCCTCGGTTTCCAATCCATCATCGTTCCCCACATCAAACGAGTCCGCCACTGCCGCTGCCGCCGCCCTGCTGCTGCTGCTGCTGCTAGTCCCGGGTGGGGGGGCCGCCAAGACGTCCGCGATGCTCCTGCCGCCCAGGACGCCTGGCCCGACGACGGAGTCGGTTTTGAGAAAGTGCGATGGGAACCAGTCCGCGGGCGTGAAATCAATGTCGATGTCCACCCGCGGTGAGACGACAGATTCGGTGGGGGCTGCTGATACGTGGGACGCAGTGGGCTCGAACGAGCGCGTCGACGACGCGGCGTCGCCGTCCTCAAAGGAGGACTTGGCCCCGCCGATGTCGTACACCTGCGGGCCATATGGCTGGGAGGAAGCCGGATCTGCGGTGCGCCGGGAAAACGGAGTCGTCGGCTTCGCCGCAGAAGAAGCAGCCTTCTTGCCTTTGGGGCGGTAGTTGTTAATGAGCGAAGCGAGCATTCCAGAGCTCTGGGGAAGAAGCGACGGCGGCGTTCCTCGCGGTCGAGAAGGACGGGCAGCCGGAGTCTGAGGGCGGCGCGATTGAAAAGGCAAGACAAGGACGATGAAGCGGTACTGCGTTAGCAACACATCATTTACTGTCCAAAGATGCCATCAGTCTACACCGCCATCGCTATGCTCGGTTTTACGCCTCACCCCCTTGCGTACTTGGACTGGAGATGTTTCAGAGAAGTCATGTTTGTTGCAGAGCAAGAATTCAGTTGCGCCCAGTCTCATTTCCGAGAGAGCGTCCATTCTGAAAACGTCGTCCCCGACGCTGGACATGATCTGGACATCAATTGCTATGACACTCGTACGTAGACGGCAGTTCTGTTCTTAGCGAAGTCTCAGTAGAACCTTGCTCGTGGTGAGCAGGTTTGAAAACAATACGGAAGATTTTCGGATGCGTATTTGCCCTTACGTCGTCTTACGTATCGGGCTAAGACCGTCCGTTTCAGGCACTTCGGCTGGAGAGCCGAGTCCCGCACTGCCCGGCACGCCGATGCCCAATCGAGCGAAATGGGAGCGCAGTCTTCTATAAACGTACATACCCTACGTCCACGCTGTGAGTGCTGGATTGAAGCACTCCCGGGAATCTTGACGCTTTTCGCCTCTTTTAGCTCAATCTCACTGGCACGAGGTGTTGTCGGCCCGATCACACCACTCCAAATCAAAAAAAAATAAGCGTTGATGATTACGATCCGGGACTGCCGCGTTATTTTTTGTAGAAGAGAAACGTTTCAAGAGACCAGGAAACAAGTCTCAGTTTGCAGATACGTTCCGAATTCCTCTGCCATATTATAACCACGCCAAGCCAATGCCCATTGAATGCAGCACTCATGTAGGACCTTGAGCACGCAGATTGCAGCCAATAGCCATAAAAAAGGCTTGTATACGCTTTGAGAACACTTTTTTTGTCATGCCAATCCAGTACAGATTCAGTACCAAACATTCCTTATTCCGAGGGTTTACAGAAGCAAGTTCTGCTGTGGAGCATCTTGTCTCGCACTCAGAGGACTATTGCGATGAGTGCTATATATGTGAATCAATGTGAGGATCGCAACTAGATAAAAAAAAATTCGGCATGTCTTCGCAGTGTTCATAGAGCTAGTGAGTCGCCATGAGAGAAAAAACCATACTGTAAGATAAAATCAACAAAAGTGTCGAATTGTGTCTCGCAAGTCAAATCGCATCACAGGCGGATCTAGATCTACCTCACGTGATGATCTTCCGGAAGTCTCCTGCGAGGCCATCATCCGATCAAGAAATAGATGATACAGCGAATCAGCTCAGAATCTCGAAGATTGTGGACCAGATAGACGGTCTCCATTGTTTGTGAGCTCTCTTCTCACCTGGAACATGCTGTCTCGAAGCGCACTTCCTAATTGATCCCGCAAAGGTCCGTCGTCAGGCATCGGTGTCGGCACCGCGATCACATGGGGATCCGCGGTCGCGTGGGTAAGCAGTAGGTCCAGTAGTTCAAATATAAGACGAGCATCCTCGGCGACCAGGGCGCTGCTCCGCTCCTGGTCATGGCCTCCCGTCTCGCGGCCGCGCTGCTCCCCTTCGGTGTCCTCCTCCTCGCTGCGAACGCGAACCCGCTGGCGCCGCGCCAGTCCGCGGACGCGAACATCACGGCACTGACCGACGCCGAGATCGACTTGTTCACGCCGTACTCGTACTACGCGGCCGCGGCGTACTGCCCGCCGAACACGACCCTCGCGTGGAACTGCAGCAGTGCGTGTGTCTCTCCGGGGCTGCTTGGGATCTCGAGTGCAAACCAGGCGGACAGCGAACTGCGACGCGAATCCGGGCTTCAAGCCGATTGCGTCTGGCGGCGACGGCGGCGCGACGCAGTTCTGGTACGTCGGATACGACGCAGCGCTGCAGACGGTCGTGGTCGCGCACCAAGGCACAAGCAACAACATGTGCGGCGTGCTTCAATTCACTCCGTCACTTAACTCACCCCCCCGCAGTCTCTCCATCCTGACCGATGCCACATTCGCCCTCGGGCCGCTCAACGCCACGCTCTTCCCGAACATCCCCGCCGGGATCCGCGTGCACAGCGGGTTCGCGAACGCACAAGCCAGGTGAGCATCGGCGTCCTGGACCGAGGCCCGCGGCTCACGCCCCCCGGCGCAGGACCGCGGAGACGATCCTGTCCACCGTCAAACACGCTCTGTCTGTCTCCGGGCTGTCCAAGGTGACGATTGTCGGCCACAGCTTGGGTGCGTCGGCTCCTGTCTCGATGCGTCGGCTCCCCCGTCCTGACGCGGCGCCGGATCAGGTGCCGCGATCAGTCTGCTCGACGCGGCGTATCTCCCGCTGCAGCTCCCCGGGGTGACATTCAAGACGATCCTGTACGGGCTCCCACAAGCGAGTCTTCCCTATATTCCACGGCACCGCGAGCTTATGTGTTACACAGGTCGGGAATGCTGCCTTTGCGTCGTTCGTCAGCTCCAGTAACACCGTCAGCCACGTCAGCAACAGAGAAGATCTGGTCCCCGTTTTGCCAGGTAGTCCCATCACATCAAGTCAGCCAGCTCAGGGCATACTGACGCACGAAAAATAGGATCCTGGCTGGGATACCGCCAGCCGACCGGCGAGATCCACATCGACGCAAGTGTCTTTCCCTTTAGAACACCCCCCTAGCGCCGACTAATGCCAATGCCGCACAGGACTCAGGCACGTGGTACGCCTGCCCTGGGGTCGACAACACAAGCAAGCTGTGCACAGCAGGCGCCGTCCCCACGCTGCTCCAGGGAAAAACCTCGGACCATGCGGGTGAGCCTCGTTTGGAGTCAAGCAGTCGAGGTGGCACTGACCGTCTGGATTCAGGACCGTACAACGGTGTGGAGATCCGGTGTCCTAGCCCTTCATCTCTCGGTGCAAATCCGCAGTCTCAGTAATAATATTCATGCGCTTGGGTCGAATAACGATTTGTCAACCCATCACATGATCGGTGTTCAATTTATCACGTGGAGGTTCAGATTCAGAGTCCTTTGTATCTTCTTCGTCCCCGGTATTCAGCTGCTGCGTCGCATCCCCCCAGCCCACGCGACAGCATCCCTCTGCCCCTTCCTCATATCGACAGCGACCCAGATGATCAGAAGCGCCACGAGGCAGAGCGAGAACAGAAACGGGAACGCTGCATGCCCCAATTGAGTATCCATCCTCTGCTGACCTGGCAAGCGGGAGGATAGAATGACACACACGCACCCATCCAGTCATCCCCCGACGCGTTGATGATCGCCTGGACGACATTCGGCCCGATCAGCGAACTGACGCGGTTCGAGAGCCCGAAAAGGCCGAAGAACTGTGCGCGGCTCAGGTATGGATGTAATGTACACCATGGACGCACACCGAGTGCGTGCGCACCATGTTGTCGTAGCCCGGCGGCGTTAGCTCGGCCATCATCGTCGTCGAGAACGCGTAATACGGCGCTTGGAGCAGGCCGGCGACGATGTTGTACATCCTAGAATACACGGATGTCACGTCACAGCCACAGCCACTCTGAATCATTGGGCGCTTTCGATGTGGCCGGCGTACCAGAATTCCCAGGGTCTGCGGAAGCTATAGGAGATTGAGACCCCATCCAGCCAGATTCGAAGAGAACATACACACCCGAAGGAGTGGGTCCAGATCCCGGCCATGCCTGTGGAGGGTCGTCAGCCCTGCCGCGAATGACAGTCATGGAAAACGGCCCACCCCACAGCGGTATCATCACCGTCACGACGACCGTTACGAGAAACTGCCCCGAGCGTCACTCCATCGAGCACCATGCAGCGCGCGCGACATCTCACCATCCGCTTCGTCGCGATCTTCCAGTGTCTCTGGATGTACCAGAACCCGAACGTGCTGATCACAGACGTGACGGCTGATAGGTAACTTGAGCTTTAGCAGTTGCATACATGCAACGGGGTGGACTAGGCGTACACTGCGCGAGCCCAAGGTACGTATTCTGCAGGAAGCTGAACGAGAACTGGTTATTCTGGCAGATCGCGACCATGGCCCAGGTCGTGTTCAATCCCTGCACGATATCGATGTTTCAGCACGCGGAGATGTGGCGAACTTGAGACGTACGTCAGAGAGCAGGAAGACAGCGAATAGATAGATGAAGGTGTTGGGCAGTTGCTGGTATTCTTTGCAGGTGACCCAGACCTACATAGAAAGCGCACCGGTACCGTCAGCGGGAGGGTGGGAGAGAGCATATGGCCTACGGCCGGCGGGCGCACCTGCTGCCATCCTACGGTCAGATAACTCTGCTTGGGAGGAAGAGGCGGACCGGGCCGCGGCTGTTGGCAAATGACTGCGCGGATGTGCGGTCCAATTCAGGCACACTCGTTCGGGGACAGACTCACACCACCACATTCCCAATACAACCCAGTATGTGTTGGTTCTTCAAAAGACAGGTATCAATATTCTCGTTAGCATCCTCATAGAAGACCTACAAGACGATCGTGTAGTTGTTGACGAGCCGATTGCCCGCCAGCGCGATCAGAATCCCCAAATTCAGACACTGCGTCACCGTATATCCGATATTGGCGTGGCCCTGCACAGCACAAGGGGTCAGAAAACCAGATCCAGAAGCCTCATATGCAGCAGCAGCGGAACACCGACGATGCTGATATTGCTGATCCGGTTCTTCTCGAGACTCGTCTCGACCTCGCACTCCTCGCGGGTGATCTCCCCGCGCGCGAGCTGCTCCTGGAGGCCGCGCGAGCGGCGCGTGTTGCGCGCGAGGCGCGGGAAGACCGCATTGGCGAACACCAGCGTCGCGCCGTAGGAGACGAAGCTGGCCATGTAGAGCGCCATCGCGCTGCCCCACCGGGACGGACCTGATAACAGCCCCTAAGTTGTAAGCACACACACAACACGCTCCCCGATGGGGATGCTCGGCGAGGGGACTCCCTTGTTAAGGACAGGGTAGCGAATTGGGCGGTCCAGCACACGAGCGTGGAGATAAGGAGCAGCCAGCGCCCGAGGTTCCCGTAATCTGCGTCGGTTTTAGGCACGTACTTACTCGGGGTCGCGAAGGACTTGCCTGCCGCGCTGGACAGTGTCGTGAATATCACGGTCATGGCCTGTCTTTTCGTTCAGTAAGTCTGCTGCGAGCCGCGCGACGCCCGGCAAGCGCGCGCAAGTCAACGCACGGTGAAACTGAGTCCGTTGGCGATCAGCACGACGCTCGAGACGGGCTTGGTGCCGCCCCCGGCCCACGGCAGGACACACTTTCCCGACGTCGAGCCCGAGCAGGACGAGCCGGGGCCCTTCGCGGGGTCGTGGCCCGCCGCGAAGGCGAGGGACTGGAACAGCGTCATCGAGAGTGCGGGTCCGAGGCCCTGGATGCCTCTGTTTCAGCGAGACAAACCGCGGGTGAGTGGGTGGCGGGGACGTCGGCTCACGCAGTCGCCGTTCCAATACACTGGCCGCCGCGAGTTCCTCGAATCTCAACTGGGGCTCGAGCGCCGGGGGGTGGCACACGCACGGTAGTAGCTCCACAGCTCCTTCCGACTGACCACCGGTTCGCGGGGACTGTCTGACTCTCGCATCGGCATCGGCATGAGCAGGGGTGTAGTCTCGTGTTCAGAGCGCGATATGTGGGGAGTCGTAGTCGTTCTGTGATACCCTGCGTGAGTCGAGTCGGTCAGGGATCCGGGGTTTGCGAAATACCCAGAGGAGAGAGAGCTAGAAGGCTCCCTTGAGTTTAGTCGGGCCATGGAGCCTAAAGGATTGCTCGGGGCGAAAGAAGGGATCAGAAGCACGAGTGGGCAGTCAAGTGGAAGGGTCCTGTCCTTCGCCCTCCGCTTCAAGTACGTCGATACCGCAGAGCACAACTGCGAAGGATGCTTATAGAGGCTTAAATGCTGTTCCATTCCATAAAAGGAGCTCTGGTGTGTCGTGGCCAGCCTGCACAGTCCAGATGGAGAGAGGTCAACCATTGAAACGCGATGATAAGATAAGATTATCAGACTCACGTAAGCGTTTCCTTAGTTTGTTATTGCCGACAAGTCGACTAGCCTCGAGTCGACTTCACATTGAGGGACGAGCAAGTTGCTGACAGGACTACATTTCAGATTCAATGCAAGGACTCAGCTCAAGAGATACAAAGAAGGCATGTAGCTGCCCCTCTGCACCAGCTGATTCCCTCTCGCATGGAAAAGACGACTGCCACCAGCGAGTTGCCTAAAATCATGGAATTTCAAGTGCCGATAATCGTAGTGTCCGAAAGGACCGAAGAATGCCGATGTGACTGCAACGTGTGACACCTTCGATTGATTGGGTAAGACTGACACGGTATTGCGTTATGGAAGTCACCCTCCGACTGGACGGCAAATTTTATTTGCTGGGCCCCGGGTCTGGTCATCGGATTTGGGTGGACTGGCTACTGATAGCTACTGATCCCCAGCGGATGGACTCCGATCACCAGCAACAACGTGGCGACGACACATCGCTTGGAGGTTTTTCCTTGGGGTGGCACACGACCACTCGACATCCAGGCACGCCACCGCTTTCTTGTCGAGGGCGACGAAGCCGGGCCCGCCGTACAATTGGTGAAGCAAGACTGCTGCGGATCGGAGATGATGATGTACTCGGTCAGGGCGCACGAGCAGGATGTGTCTGAATGGACGCACACTGATCTGATCAGCGGTCCATGGCGGAGGTTGCTTCTTCGCTCGCGTGCAGCCTCTCAATAAGCGAATCTCCGCTGCAGAATAAACATAAATACGAGCGGCGTGCAGCCATGGCTCGTTGGACCGAGTCACCCTCCCCAGACCCGCTCCTCCATCCCCGGCCCCCCCTCGCACGATGCGTTTCACCGCTTCAGCCACTCTCTTTTTCCTCTCCGGTCTCTTCACGGCGCATGCATCCCCCGTCACGCGCGAAACGATCACCGCGCTCTCGGCACAGCAGGTGGACGCTTTCACCCCGTTCACGCACTACGCCGCGGCCGGATACTGCGCACCGAACGTCACGATGGCTTGGGATTGCGGAAGTGCGTGTCCCGTGACTGTTCCCCTTGCGGTCGGTTGCGCTGACCGTCCTCGAATTAGTTAGCTGCAATGCGCTGCCCGGCTTCAAGACTGTGGGCGCTGGTGGCAACGGCGACACGGTGCAGTACTGGTATGTCGGGTACGACCCCGCCCTGCAGACCGTCATCGTGTCGCACCAAGGAACGGTCCCCGCGCATATGTGAGCCTCCGTGATCGGTGATACTGCTCTCCCACGGTCTGATTTCCGTCCGTCCGCAGCCAGTCTCTGATCACGGACTTGCGGTTCTTCTTGCGTCATTTGGATCCGACGATTTTCCCTGGTCTTCCCAGCGACATCGAAGTTCATACCGGATTTGCTGACGAACACGCCAAGTGCGTCGCGGTTGCTCATCGTTGACAAACCTGAGCTAATGATTATCATGTACATAGGACCGCGGCTGATGTTCTTGCGGCTGTCAAGACTGCACTTTCCGAGTCCGGCTTCACCAAGGTGACGATTGCCGGTCATAGTCTGGGTATGTCTCATCGCGTTTGTTTCCCTGTGGAAACTGATTATTTCGTGACACGGAAGGCGCTGCCCTTGGCTTGCTCGAATCGGTCTATCTTCCCTTGCACATTCCCAATGTGACTTTCCAGTCCGTTCTCTATGGTCTTCCCCGGGTTTGTCAATTCCTGGCACTCATCGTCCTTGAATCTGACGAGCTCGCTTCAGGTGGGCAATTCTGCCTTCGCCCACTATGCCAGTCAAGGCGACACCATCACGCACATCAACAACATGGAGGACTTTGTCCCCGTCCTCCCTCCTCGGTTCGTAGGCTATCAGCATCCAACCGGCGAGATTCACATCCAGGTGCGGTTTCTTCACTGCCAACGGTTGTCTTTGATGTTGAAATTCGGCAGGACACCGGCGAATGGCACCCGTGCTCAGGTTATGACAACACCAGCGATCTCTGCTCTACCGGAGACCTCAAGATACTCATTGAGTTCAACGTCAACAATCATTTGGGTGCGTAGAGCGATTTCTGATAGGGCTGTTTCTGGACTGATATGGGCGAATTTCTAGGCCCTTATAATGGCATTACGATGGGATGCCAGCATTAAAAACATATTTCGTATATAATCGTATATTTCTGTGTCTGTCTGGTGTAGATCGTGGCACGATCAATGTCTCTGGAACGTTTGACTCTTGAGAGCGCTTGTGAGGAATCGAACCCAGTCACGGCAGTCCCCGGACGTGTCACGGGTCACAGTCGCGCCTGTCAATGTGACACCCTTACCACTTCATCCGACCTGAGTGTCGATTCCCGACAGTGACCATGCGCGCCTCCCTCTTTCGACTCGCCGAGAACATCTCCCAACACCCGATCAAGCTCGCGGAAGTCAGCTCCACCCTCTTACCCCCCATTACGTGCGTCCACCAGCCCCCCGAGCCAAGCACCCCGCCGGACAGTTTCGACCCCTCTGCAGACTGTATCGAGGCATACTACGCGCCCACCGCCATCTACCCCAGGATCTAAGGTTCATGGGAGACGGATACGTCAAAGCCGGTATGCACCCGGCGGCGCCTCGCTCCAGCTCCAGTCTCGCGCGCTCACCCTGACACGGCCGTAGAATTCCACCGGCACCAAAACGTGACGAATCCGGTCCATCTCATGGGCTTCCTCGTATCGTGGAAAGCGTACCTGGACGAGATACCGACGGGGCCAGGTGGGAGGGAGGGGTTCCGGGGCAAGAAGCTGGATCCGACTGTGTTCGATAAGGTGCGTACTGCTGGACCCGCCGGCCTGCTGAGGATGACGGCGATGACACCGGATGCAGATGTCGAAGGAGCAGCTGGGGCAGCTGTACGAGCTGCTGCAGGCCACGAAGGAGCTTAGGTAGCTAGTTAAGCCGATCGTGAACACCGTGACCACACATTGTTTTCCTGGTCCCACTCTGGCTATGCGTAGCAGGTTACAAGAGGGAACACTGCGTTTCTAGGCAGCCCCTACCTCCTGCTCAAACTCCGTTGGAAGCCGGCTAGAATGGAATGTTGTTAGAAAGCGTAGTGGTTTCGGCCCATCAACAGCTGTGGTTCTTTCCTCCCGGATCCTATGCCAACTCTAACAACGCAAATGACTATCTGGTTTGGCAAAGACCACACAGAGCGATTGAAGTGTGCACCATGACAACTCCCTCAAGCTGCCAGCGGTGGAGCCCCCCAGACGCTGCAACTCCACAGGACTTGTCAAGTTGCGCGAGTGGAATGTGTCAAGACGGTGACGGTTACTGGTGATGATCAGACCTCGTCTGCTACTTATCGAGAACGCGATATCTTTGTATTCCATAAATCAGCGGCAAGCAATTTAGAAGTCAAGCAGGTATAGTATGGATAGATGACGGCTAGGCTTTCTTCTTTCTTTTTGGGCCAATCGACGGGTCGGAAACATTCCAATCAAACGCTCTCCTCGGTCTCCATCTAATTCTGGCGGTCCCGACGAGGTGAATGTCATCTTTGGAAAGTGACCCAGCAATACTGGTCCAGTCTCTTCGGAATCTCGCACGCTCATCTCTACTGGCGTGTGAGATTTGATTCGACCGAGCGAAAAGAGAACTTACTCGTTGGCAGGCCAAAAGATGTGAGGATGTTCGAACTCTTGTAATTCAGGGAAGAGACCACTGCGTTTAGACTGGGCCAATCCGATTAGGATATCCACTTTCAGGGAGGAGTATTCGTAATGTTTCATGCTGCACAAAGTGCATCAGGACCTGCTACGCAACGGAGAGACCGCGAGGCGTACTCGTAGTCATCTGGTAGATGGATGACGAGCCTTTGAAGATATTTGTGGCCCTTGGATTTGAGAAACCAATCGAGCCAGAAGTGGTTCTACGGAAATCAGCGTCCTGGATCTGTCGACTCGGAGGAAACAATTAACCTTGCCGTCGCAGGAGACGCCGAGCTGGCGAATGGCCGGACAAGCAGTAAAGATACGCAAGACGTGTACCGACAGCTGATTGATCGAGGCCGCGAGATACTCGAGCTTGGAGCCATGTTTGTCGATAAACTCGAGGCCATTTCCGGGTGGTGTCCCCGCACTACACCGTAGAATGCGCAGTGCAGGCAACCTAGATCGAGATGAGGAACAGCGCGATGTAGTGGGTGCGGCCAGCTCACTCCATGGCGCACAAGGCTTTTAGGAAGGTGGGCGTTTCAGCGCTCACACTTAATTCAACCAGGTTCGCCAGTCCGTTACTCGGGACTTTGGGCGACCTGAAAACTGTCTGAGAGCGCCAGTCCAAGGATTGCAGTAGTTTCCAGGATGCAAAGATCTTTGGGTCCGCAGGAGCGCTGGCTTTTCCTACAGGCATTCCTTGGAATGCGATAAGCGTGGCACCGTGCGACTGGACGAGGCTCGTGAAACCAGGAAACGGGACCGATTTGCAGCCGCTGTCGTGTCCTTTCAGAGAGATGAGATTGGGCATCATTGATAAGAGCTTCTTGAAGGAGGGAGCGTGGCTCGGATCGCTAAGGGTGAAATCGACAATGTGCTGGCCACAAGAAGGGTGCGCCGCAAGACCCGCCAAAAACTGCGCGGTCATGGACTTGCTGCGAAGCGACGGGCGGGAGAACAGATGAGGAAGGGACAGACGCTATAAGAATTCTGGAGTCAGATCGAGGATGCCCGGGTGACCGAGTAGAGGAACACACCGCGAATTTTTTACAGACCAAAAGCGGGTTCAGATATCGCTTCTCCTTCCGCCGCGGTTCACTCAGTGCTGTGGCAAATGGTAGCATGTCGTAGAGAAAATAAAGCACTCTGTCCCAGATGGCATCTTCCAGGATAGGATCGGATGAGAGTCGTGTTGGATACACAAACATAGGATTCCCAGAATGGAGCTCGGTCGCCTGAACAAAGTCTTCAGGGTCGAACAAGTGGTTCATGCCTTGTGTCTCTATCTTCGCATAGAAGGATCGCGTCAACGGGAAATGCTGATGATGCGAAGGCCTGATGAAGCGGATTCTCCTGAGGCTTTGATTGCGACCAAGGAGAATCAGCCGCGGGCTCATAACGACCTGCGACCCAGATAGAAAAATATACACCGAATGAAGAGACGATACGGAGCAAAGCTGCTGGAAAATTTCTTCGTCATCAGTCGACCGCTGCCTGTGAGGTTTGATTGCATCGTGATCGAGGGTAAGAATGTTCTGGAATTTCATGTCAGTGAGAACGACAAAGACCCCGATCATGAATAATACAAGTCTCTTCCAGCCTTTGAGTGCTGTTTTGAAGCTCCCCAAGAGTGATACATGGGTGGCGGTATCCCCGTGATATGCTCGGGAGCAGTGAAAAAGGATAAGACGGACAGGGTTGATGTATCGCAACCCGCAACGAAGCCCTGATACATCCTCGCAATCTTCCAAGCAGCAGATGATAAGCCATATATCGGTGAGATGCTTCGAGTTCTCCAGCACTGTCTTCATCCACGAACCGAATCCGCCCTCGACTCGCAACTTCTTGATGAAACGACCCAAATCCGGATTCGACGTGAGCGTGATGGCCAGGGACTGAGCCTGCGCAATGGACCTGAGAACCACGGTGTGGTATAGCAGCGGTGTCGCCACCCGAAGCCAGCTCTTGCAGACGAGCAAATACGCCGAACTCGACTCTTCGAACCGGAAAGGCGAATATCTCTCCATTGACGAGAATGCACCGTCGTCGAGATGCAGAGCAGGCGTTATTATCTCGGAGATGATCTCGTCGGGAAGTTGGATGGAACGGGTCATAGCAGTGCTGAAAAGGCCAGAGCAATTCACGACACAAGCGCGTTATTTGCTCAGGCTTGTAACGAAAACAATGGCTTGATGCCATCAACTCGCTTCGTTTGCCGGCGACGTGTCTGCAGGAAAGTTGAAACTCAACGATTCACACTGCACAGTCGGAGGTGTTCTGAAATGAGTGAAACAAGCTGAAAATTTAAAACTGAGATGGGCCTGGTGGTATTTAGGTCGGTTGACAGGTGATAGATATCGGGACAGCTCTTTCCTTTCTACGACCATGCCATCGAGAGAGATCGCCGACGAAGCAGAGGCTGTTACTTGTGAGCAGTATGCCTCTTCCACACTGGCAGGGGAAGGAGAGGAGCACCCGGATCCGACTCGGTCACACTCTGTGGTCTCCCGGAGAGAGTTGTGGAGCTATTATCGTGCGTGGCTCGCCGAGTTCCCCTCGTCTGCTGATTCGCGATAGTTTACTGGAACGGAAGCTGTGTACGCCTTATCTCTCTCTCTCTCTCCTCCTTTGCGCTCGAGGCTCATTGCATATCAGGGGATCGGAGCAGGATTCGTCCGAACGCTGTTCACCCTTGCTGCCTTCCAAGCTGGCTACGATGCAGTCGAGGGTCCGGGATCGAGATGCACTACATCCGAGCGTTGCTTGCTTGTCTGGACGGGCGAAAAGACAGTGTCGATCACTACCGCCTTATTTCTCGCAGATGGGGCTGCTTTGGTCGTAAGCCTTCATCACCGCGCCTTCTAACTACTCGATGGGTTGATCTCCTCCCGTGCCACAGGTGTTGGCCGCGATTGTTACGATCGTCTCGAGCGCTGCTGGTACGCTGGGACAAGATCGGAGGTTGCTGACGATCTTACTTGACATCTGACACAGATTACGGCAAGATGGGACGATGGGCTCTGCTCATCTTCACTGTATCATACTGGCTCTCCCAGCTCTCAAGCATACCTTTGACGGACAGTGAGTTTAGTTCAAATCCCTGCATGATTCCTATCTCATTTCCGTCGAACGGACGCATCGAGTTGGAGTTTCGCCTTGATCATCTATGTAGTGATTTCGATCTCCTATTACGGCGCAGTGATCTTTGCCAGCGCTGTACTTCCGCGCCTGGCGAGAAGCTTGCCAGCGGCTAAATACTTCCGAGCTCGATACGCAGGCGGGGAGATATCCGCCGCTGAGTTTGATGCCGAGGAGAGCCTCAACTTGAGCAGAATCAGCAGTTTCAGCCAAGTGCGTCTGTGGTTCTTTTGCCATTCGTCTGATTCCTCAAATCCGACAAGGCTCATGTCAAGATCGGATACCTTGCATTTAATTGCATCTTCTTGATCCCTTGGTTCAGTAATGGGATGAATACTTTGGTGATAGCGTGAGCTCATTCGCAGCTCCGATATGCTAGCTCTGAAGACTATCCAGACCGACTGTCTACTGGATTATCCTGGGTATCTGGTGGTGTGAGTCCCCGAGCTGCGACCAATGATCTCTCGATCATATGTCACTAGTTGTTCTCGAAAAACCGCGCCCCGGCCCTGCCATTCCGCAAGATGCGAGCTGTACTACCGTGGGCATCAAACAGGTAAGTGTCTGATGGCCAATCTTGCACCGTTCGTTGAATGGGGGCATCAGATGTGGAGGGCAATCAGAGACTGCAAGGTTCTCTCTCAGACGTTCATCTATCTTGCTTCGGTCTTCGTGCTGACCAATGTGAGCGCATACCGCCAGATAACCTCGTACTGCCTACTGACGCGGCCATCAGGGAATCGAATCGACTGTGCAAGTCGTCGAGTCGCGACAGTTCCGGCACTTCATTGAGCGTCAACAATACGGAACCATTGAGGTCTTGGTATTCGTCCAGAGTGGGTGGTCCGTTGAATCCGTCCGTGACTGATTCTCAATTTGAGCAGCACTGGTGGCTGTTTTAGGCACGATCGGCTTTTGGCGCATCCAGAAATACCGGCGCAGTGGAAACAAGACAATGGTTTGTCCGGAAGCCAGACACTCTGCATAGTCGTACCAATGAAATGCGGTTATTTTAGCTCGGTATGATTCTGGCGCTCAGCTCGATACTTCCAGCGTGGGGCAAGTACTCCCTTCTCATCAATCGTTCTCATCCCTTACTAATTGATACGTTCAGGATCCTTGGTCGGGTCAGTCCGCTCATACTAGACCAGTCACAATCTGTTAATCCTGCAAAAGCTTCCACACTACATGGGAATTCTGGTAACTTCTCCCCGACTCCCCGGCCCTGGGTGCCTCTAACAATCTTCTCATATAGGGTCTCCAACGTCCTAATTGGGATAGTTCGAACACCATACAACGCATATGCGATAACAATGATGGCTGAGCTGACTCCGCCGGGATTCGAGAACATGGTGTGTGCTCAACCGCCGTGGTGTAGCTCTTGAGCCACCCCCGCCGACCATACTGCCCAGTTCTTTGGACTTTTTGGACTGTCTGCGCAAGCGAGTCGGTTCCTCGGCCCGCTGATTCGCAAGCACATATTTGATTGGAACGGTGAGTGATCCGTTCGGAGTTGAGTTGCGAATCCTTCGGTGACATGCTTTTTTTCGTCGTAGATCTTGCTCTGCCGTTCTTCTCCTGCGTGTGCGGTCTTGTCCTTGTCCTACGTTTCGTCAGTGTCCAGCAGGGACGGCAAGATGCGCGTGCGTGGGCAGAGAAGATGCGGCCGTCAGCGGGGATCACCAGGTCCAATTGAGCGGGTAGGCAAGGATACACTTTTCGATTCGAACATCGCCATCAGATAACTCGTTTCGTTTGAACACGCACATGACATTGATTGAGAGAAATCGAACATTATCACGTGCCTGCCGTTCGATCTGTTCATGGGTGGCTTTCTTCGGAGAAACAGCAATGACACGAAGCAACCAGTCCTTTGTCAAATACTTCCAACAGACTCGACGACCAGTGTTATCTGCCCTCCGTGTCATGGCTGTCCCTCACAGTCGAGCTCGAGCTCCCTGACATGTAGTTAAATTGACCGGATGAAGCTTGATAAAAATGAAGATTCTTCATGGCATGAGTCGCGATGCGATGCGTACCGCCAATGCTGAGACATCTCATGGGTCGGCGGCGTGGCAGAATAGTCATGGATCGGGATACGTGTTCATCATCATGCTGACGAAGGCTGACGACGATACCTGATTTCAGTCACCTGATCAGAATCGCTCGGGAGACCACTCGGAGATGCGACGTTATCATTATTCCGCAGTATCCAACCATCATGTGCTCGATTCAGTATCTCAGACTGACGAGAGAGCGTAAGGAAATCTAGCTTCTATTGCCTGTGTCTCTACGGAGCACCGACTGGCAGAAAGGGCCGTTTGCCGCACTGCAGTGATATCCCGTGGTAGGGGGCGCGTTCAATCGTGAGACGCGTATGTTCGAAGAGCAACTTCAAGCACTGAAGCTAGCAGTGACAGCTGCGAAAGATCTACAATTTGATGGTGGCGGTGCATACTTCACAACCTTCCGTCATTAGCACGAGCGCCGCGCTGGCGGCATTATACCGACTGCCTTAGACGTAACCCTCACTCAGCTCCAGCCAAGTCTTTACGGCTCATATCTCACTGCTATAATCTCGTTTCCAGTGTCTCTCCCCACTGCACAAATATCACACTTACAAGATGCCCCGAATCAGTGCGCTGAGTAGACTTTGAGGGGAGCCTAAGGTAGGCGTCATCAGGAACCAGCACCCCTTACTAAGCGTCACAGAGTGACATTCCGTGACGGACAATGGCGGCGGCCACAGATAAAAAATGAAAGATATGTTCAGATTGAATGCTTAGGGAGGTCATTAGAGCACCTTGTATCTGAACGGAATCTGCATAAATGGTCTCTGAGGTCCATCATGAGAGGTCGAAGATTTTCCCATCAAACATTTTCTATTGATGTTCAAAGTGTTTCTTAGCCAAATGCAGCACTTTTCAATTTTCGGACCCAAAATTTGAGGCTGTCACGTGATGTCCCAATTAGGAAATGATGACATCTAGCACTAGAATAGGCTACATCTTCAGTATAGAAGCTCAATCTGTTCGGATTGCAGCTATAGGTGGCAAAAAACTGCTGTTCGAGTCTTTTGGAGGCGTCACAAAGCCATAAAAATCAAAGTATTTTTTCGGGACCCAAGATTTGAGGCGTGACAGCGTGATGTCACATGCTTAGTAAGGGGTGCTGGTTCCTGATGACGCCTACCTTACTATGCACGTAGTCTGCACCTTTGTTAGGCTCCCTGCGCCGTTTTGCGTGGCAACCCTATCAGAGCGGCGTGTCGTCTCATTGAATGTACCGAAAGCGATCCAGAAGGAGCGGGGCTGTCGTCGTCACATACTTCACGACATCGGACCAGGTACATACGGCTTGACAAGTGCTTCCTCTGTTCTTCGCTCCCTGACTGTATAGGAACCTCAGGTCTCAGCCCGCACTCTGACACTCCCTCTTCGGAACCCGATGTTGAGAACCTTGCAAGCCAGGTCGTGAAGGTACCGATCGCCAGAGCTGAACGGCCGATGCCCATCCAAGCTGCGATTTAGATTACTGCCGCGACAGTGCGAAGCACATGCAGTCACCGGCTCTGCTTGCAAATGAACTCAATGCCCGGGTCTGATCACGGGTGAGTAGTGGTCAGCTCCAGACGCCTAACATTGACAATGCGTAACAACGACAGTGGTACCCGTCTCTCTCAAGCGAACCACGACCACGACTACGACCATGCCTATGCCACGCTTGCTGCAGAAGCTGAGCTCGAAGAACCTGCGCAGACGGACGCTGTCGACGTTCAGCGCCTCCCATCGTCCGCCCGACGTTCCACCCGTTCCCGGCCCATCGACCTCGGTTCATTCGCGCGACTCGTCCATCCCGACGTCATTGTCCTCGTTCGCGAGTCCGGATCCCCAAACCGTCTTCCCCCCGTCAAGCGACGATCCTGATTTCGAGCGGTCGCCCAGCGGCGGCCATTTGAGAGTGGCATATGTCGAGGGCCCGACAGAGGAGATCGGCCGAGCGGGCACCAGCGCGGATGCGGAAACACGACGAGATGAGGAGGAGATCGCTGGAGCACTGCCGCTGCCGGGATTCGAAAGCTTGTTCGTGTCGGAATGGCGAGGGTTCCTCTACTCTGCACGATCGACGTCAGAGCTTCCTGTCGGGGGAGTGATGACGTTCATGCTCCGGCCTGCCCCGTCACCCGACGACGGGGTGCAGGCCTTCATCGCAACGGAGGGCGACTCGCACACGATCACCGGGACCTGTTCCAGCAGCACGCACGCCGTCTCCTTCCGACGGTCTCTACCCGATCGACACGCCACGCAGTTCTTCGCGGGGAAGTGGGATCCTGCCAACGATACTTTGCTCGGCACGCTCGGATTCGAGCCAGACCCGGCGACGCACTTCATGGATCTGGTCTTCCGGCCGCTGGTCGCCCGCCACGCGCGATTGATGCCCCCGGACAAGGATCCACGCGCGCTGTGGAAGTTCGCGACCGCGGCCGTGCTGGACGACGTCAGGCAGCGCGGCTGGACGTGGTCGTACTTCAAGGAGCGCCGCGACACGCGCCGCAAGTACATCGAGCTGTTCATCCGGAACGGGGACGGGAGCGCCCAGTTTGGCGCGACGCTGTCGGAGGAGGAGAGCGACGAGTACCGCCACGTGAAGAAGGCGTTGTCGACGGGCGATCTGCGCTTCTACTCGACGCTGGCGGAGCAGCAGATCCGCACTGTGCCCCGACCGCGGAGATCGCGGCCACGGCTGCGCCCGGCGCACTCGCATCGAGGGATGGACCACGAGTTCCATGGCCTAGGTCGACTGCCGGAGAAGGAGGAGAAACAGGAGAAAGATCCGACGGTCGAGGAGCGGGTAGGAGTGCTGGAGCGCCGGTTCTCTGAGCTTGAGGATCAGATCTCGGGGCATCGGGACTGGGTGAACGAGAGACTGCTGGGCCTAGAGCGAATGCTGCAGGAGTTGATCCAATCTCGTGTTTAGCTATTTATCATATCTGCCCGACTTTGTAATGTCAGTATCCAGTCGATTAGTCTAGCTGCGCTTCTGGACGATAGTAAAATAGAATAGCTGTGCTCATTCGGGGCATGCAGTACGTCTCTATTAGGCAAGGATGGTGCCTTTTGCATGTACCACCCCAACGCCCTCGTGCACGAGATGACCTCAAATGTAGCACGGAGGTCAATGCGAGCCTCTATGGTTTGATAGATGCTCGCCCGTGGGTTGCCATCGGACTAAACTCGAGGAGCAGGCAAATCACCGGTATAACATGCACTGCTTCAGGCTAGGATTGTTTCTTGCCGAGCCACAGATGCATTACTTGCTCATCACCCAGGTCGGTAGAAGACGCGATCGCGTTCGACTCCTCCGACGACTCACTGCATCCTCGCAGTCGCATCTTCCCTGATCGACTCCGCCCAGGCCACAGCATCTCTGCGGCCTTTCTCCACATCCACCGCGAACCAGATGACCAGCGACGCGCACACGCACAGTGCGAACAAGAATGGGAAGCCTGCACGTTCCGTGTTAGGATCCCACACGACAAGTGTATCAGAATCGGAATCGGACACACCCATCCAGTTGTTACCGGAGGAGTCGATGATGGCCTGGATCACGTTCGGTCCGATCATCGAGCTGGCGCGGTTCGAGAGACCAAAGAGACCGAAGAACTGTCCCGGGTGAGTCCAGTCGACCAAACTGCACGGCGATTGCATTGCGTAAGTGCTTACCATGTTGTCAAAGCCGGGCGGTGTCAACTCGGCCATCATCGTCTGGGAGAACGCGTAGTACGGCGCTTGGAAGAGGCCGAAAACGACATTGTATGCCCTGGAAGAGTATCGGCGGGTACACGCCGAAAAGGCGGCGTCGGCACGCACCAAAACTCCCACTTGTTGTGGAACCTGGGTCAAGATGTGAGCTCCACTGAGCGGTGATATGTATGACAATCTCGCTCACCCAAGCTTCTGGGTCCAGATCCCGATCATACCTGGGCCGGCGTGAACTTGAATGAACATGTCACCCAAACGTAAGGCCACCAAACGCACCCCAAAGCGGAATCATGATCGTGAAGCAGTTCGTGACGACAAACTGGCAGGGAGAATCAGCCCGCCGAGAAAGGCCGATGAGGTTCGGGTCGACTGACCATCCGCTTTGTCGAGATCTTCCAGTACCTCTGGATGTACCAGAATCCAAATGTGCTCGCGGTCGAGGTGATGGCTGGCGAGCCCATCGGGACAGATCCGAATGAAGAAGCGCCGAGACTGACCTTGCGACAGGCCCAGATACGTGTTCTGCAAGAAGCTAAAGGAAAACTTGTCGTTCTGGCAGATCGAGACCAACGTTCCGGTTGTGTTGAGGCCCTGATACGGTACGGTATATAGTCAGTCAGTCAGTCAGTCTTCAAGTCAACGTTCTATAGTGCACACTCACATCAGCCAGGAGGAAGAACGCGAACAAGTAGATAAAAGTGTACGGAAGCTGTTTGTACTGATTGCACACCGCCCAGATCTGTGCATTTATTCATATCCATCGAGCGGTCAGAGAGGAAACCCAACACCAACCTGTTTCCAGCCGATTGTGATGTAGTGTTTCCCTTTTGGGAGGGGAGGGCCAGGCCGTGGTGCTTGAAAGACGACTGCAGAACTCAGACGATGTTGTAGGATTCCGAGACGACTCACACCACCAGATACCGGTGAGCACCCAGTACATGTTCGTCCTGGCGCTGTCTCAATACTTGTTCACTGCATGAGGCATACGTCACCCACAAAACGATGGTGTAGTTATCGGCCAGTCCGTTGGAGCTCAAAGGAAGCAAGATGGTCAGATTCAGACACAGGGTGGCAATGTATCCGATATTGCTGTGCGCCTAGGTCCAAGCTCGTGAGCCAAAGCAAAGCAGTCGAACAGTACGTGCTGTGCTGATATTGCTGAGACGATTCGTCTCCAAGCTCTCCTCTTTCTCGTAATCTTCTTGCGAAATTTTCTCCGTTTCGTACCGGGTTCTGATTTCACGCGCATGAGCTGTGTTTCTCGCCAGACGGGGGAACAGCGCCGAGCAGAAGACGAGTGTAGCCCCGTAAGAGATGAACCCGACCATGTACAAGGCCATCGCCGCACCCCAACGGGACGGTTCTGACGCTGAGATCAGCAAAAAAAGCCAAGGAGGAAGTTGAACACAAGAGGCGCACTGGTTAGCGCCATGCTCGCGAACTGGGCGCCCCAACAGATGACCGTGAACGCAAGAAACAGCCAGCGGCCAGAGGTGCCGTAGTCCGCCACGCTCCCAATCGTCGTGAAGATCAAGGTCATAACCCGTTCACGTCGCGAGATGAGATTGCGTGCCTGGCTCTACGCGCGGCGCGACTCACTGCGAAGCTGACGCCGTTTGCCACTAGGACGACGCTCGTGACGCTCTTGTGCCCGCGGCCCCATGGAACGACGCATTGGCCGGACGCGTTGGCTGCCGAGCAGGACGAGCCCGGCCCCGCGATGGGATCGTAGCCAGCGGCGAACGCGAGCGATTGGAACAGCGTCATCGAGAAGCCGTTCGGGCCGACGCCCTGGGGCGTGTGTCAGTAACCGTGATCACCGGAGGCGCGATGGAGGGACATTATCGCCATTGCAGTATACTGTGGCGTAGGTTTCATAGACGATTCGCGGGTGCAGGATGCGGAGTACGCACGATAATAGCTCCAGAGTTCCCTGCGCGTCACGACCGGCTCGTCCTTGCTCATCGAGGACACGAACAAGGGCCGCTTTCCGACCGTGAGGAGATCGGTAGCTGTGTTTTCCGGGTCCTTGCGGTCCTTGGTATCCTCGTCTCCCAGTGTCGGCACGACGTTCGCGATTGGAAACACTGGTTGAGGCAATCTAGACATGGTGTGCAACGTTCAAGAGTAGCCAGGGAGTTTAGAAGCCTCTTTGGAGTCCCCTGACCAGGCCTATCCTTGATTAAGAACCGCCCGTGGCTTTCCTCGGTCTATGAGGCTGGCTCCAATTGGCCAGAAGCATCCATCACAGAGCGTTTTGGATTTGCATTCATCGTGCGTTGAACAAGTCGATCGGAGCTAGACTGGAGCAGAAGCACAAAAGACCGGTGCTTATGAGGTCCAGGGTCTCGATGTTGCTGGCGGGAGAGCTGCAAGATGTTCGTGGTAATGGCATTGACGGGTGACGGTGAGAGACAGACGTTTCCGGAATCTCCCCATCCCTCACCGCAATCCCGCATCCACCGTTGTCTGGCCACTGTCTGGCCGTTAGTCACTCACCACACATGGCTGATGCCAACCTATGGAATGCCGCATCTAGACCCCCTCTCCTCGTGAGAGCTCAGCGGATACAATCCAAGCACCCGTCGCAGGCCCTAACAGTGTAATTGCAGCGGTAGCCGTTCTACTCTTTGGCTGTCCGCCGCTGCTGCTGCTGCTGGAGCAATCGGAGCTCTTTCTGGCGTATCTCTTTTACATGCCACAGGCTCAGTTGTTCCTCGAACTGCTGTCGCCAGCACTGTGCTTCCGGCGAAGTGTAACACCCCTTGGATCAGAGCATTCGGCCTGAGATCGCATCCGTTCAGCTTGCTGAGCAGGCTTGGATGTGTATTCGCGAAAGATGTATCGTCCGCGAACGGCTTCTTGGACGAATCCGATGACAAGCGCCAGGAGGGTGGTATTTTGGTGGGCCTGGCTTTCGTCGACAACGGTCGCGTCTTCCCTCTGAGGATCTACGGCTCGAAGATGTTGTACTGGATCATCGCTCGAGCGCCATCGCCTGATTCTTAGGCAGCGCCCATTTCGTCAGCCGCTGGATGATCGGCCCAAATTTGCCTGCTTTGGGGCTGGGGAATGACACCGGGAGACAACACGTTCTATGAGCGGTTGAGTTGAAGAGACGGACAAACAGATGCGAAGGACCACTCACTGACGCAGAGAGTGCACGCGTCCAAAGCATCCAGAAGCCAGCAATCTCGGATTGAAAAACTCTGAACTGCTTCCTCAGAGCAGAAAGCATTCGGCATTCACTCTCATAGTCAGTCAGGAATGACGGCGCATAAGACAGCGGCTGCATCTCGTCCTCCAGCTGACTTGACGACGTGAGAGCGTCGAAGAAACACGGCACATGCCCAAGTATAGCTCTTCCAGACGCACTGACTCCTAGTATGACGGGGAGCAACCGGTAATCGACTCCCTACGCTTCGCCAGAGAACGGTATGGAGGATGTTGCCGCTAAGTTACTACTGCGGGATTCCAAACTCGTGACGAGCCTCACGTGGTCTCGCACCCCCGCGTTTTCTTCCAATCCACTCGAAGGAAACGCGTTCCTCTAATAACAACCGGTTTTAGCTCGATGGGAACCTCATCTCTCTGAGCATTGGCGTGCACTGCATCCATGGTGAAGAACGGCATTCTATCTGATGTTGCCGTAGAGAGAGTGCGAGCGCAAGATCAGAACTGCACCGCATGACAAGACATCGGATTGGCTCTGGCAGTGCGACTTCGAGCAGAGCTGCGAGAGAAGGGAGGATCGAATCACATCGCATGCGACCAAGTAGGACGGGCCTGTCCGGCTCTACTCTCTCCTTTTCTGAAGTAGTACGCGTTTCGTTCGTTCTTCAGGACTTCCCATCTGCTCAGCGAAATTCTACAGCGAGTAATGGACACATGTGCGTCTCCTGGGACCGACGCTGTCTCACTAGTTCTTGATGCCATCCGTCCATCTCCTAGAAGCGCCGATGTACTGCCATGCCTTGGGATGTTTCGCCGGACAATCTTTGTGCCGTCCGAACTTGCACTGGCTTCCTTGGGCGCCGGTGTCTAGATCCGCCATTCAGGTGTAGGACGCTTGGCGGCTGTCAGCCATGGAATTTATCCAGCGATGCAGCGTTTGTGGAGAAGCACGGCAGGTTCCCTCCTGCCTCCGACCATGTCACAAGCTGACACACAGCAGACCAACAAACGACAGGCCGATGAAGCCGGTCTCGAGCGCGAGAAAGCCAGCGGGAACAAGCTCTGGAGCGTCTACATCTCCGAGGCCGAGAAGTACGATCAAGGTCTCATCGATGGCTGGCGCAGTGAGATGGACGGCCTGTTGATCTTCGTGCGTCTCCGACCGTTCTCAATCCCGGTCTCATTCTGAATCTGACTGATCAGGCTGGTCTCTTTTCTGGCGTTGTAACGACATTCATCATTGAAAGCTACAAGACACTAAGCCTCGACTCGGGCAGTCAAACCCTCGCGCTGCTTGCCCAGATCTCGCGCCAGCTTGCAAACATGAACAACGGCACGGCCGTACCAGACGCACTCCCTCCTCCCGCTGCCTTCTCACCCCCGCTCTCATCCCTCATATGCAATACACTCTGGTTCACCAGCCTCGCACTCAGCTTGTCGAGTGCCCTCGTCGCGACACTTGTCGAGCAGTGGGCGCGGGAGTATCAGCACCGGACTACCATGTTCTCCTCCCCCTCCATCCGGTCCCGTGTGTACATGTATCTGTATTACGGTTTGCGCCGCTTCAATATGCATCTCGTTGTTGGCATTCCCCCGCTTCTGCTGCACGCGTCACTGGTCCTGTTCTTTGCAGGTTTAGTGGCGTTTCTCGTGCCCATTAACATCATCATTATGGGCATCTCCTCTGCTCTTCTGTTCCTCTTCGTCTCGGTCTACGGAACGTTCAGTGCACTCCCGCTGTTCTTCTTCGACTGTCCGTACCAGACGCCACTCACGCGAATCCTATGGTCGCTGAAACAGACCTTGGGAAGCGTGCTGAAGGCTTATATTTGGAAGGCAGCGGCTGTTTGGAAGGCCTATGTTTGGAGGAGAACTCCTGTGACAGACGCGGAGAAAGCCGCTCAATCTACTGTGACGAACTCCCGGGGCTCTGTCGAACCTTCAGCACCTGCAGACAGCCGTCCGCAGTCTCGGAGCATGTTGGACGCCCTGAAATCAGCGGCGCTACGTTCCACTGTCGAGACGGAGACCCGGGCACTCGCATGGACCGTCCGCTCTCTCTCTGACGACGAGGAGCTTGAGCCGTTTGTGGAGGGGCTCCCCCAGGCACTGTGGGATTTCAAAAACAGCAAGCCTCGTAGCGCGTATCAGGTACAGTTCAAGACGTTGTTGCGTGATCCACAAGTCCATCTCAGCCAGCGTCTTACTGATTTCATGGCTGGCTGCAACAGCAATCTGCTCGAGCCGAAGGACCGCCAGCGCCGCCAGCTCTCCGTGCTCCGGGCCATCTGGGCTGTCTGTGCGTTCTCCCTTCACACGAGGTTCCCTCTGCGAATTCTGGTCGGAGAGGCTGAAGCGGAACCCGCGCTGCTCGGCCTGAAATTTGTTGATTCTCCTGACGTGCAGACCATGATCCCCGACGTGTCTGCCCTGATCCGTCTGAACATGATCGAGTCTCGGCGCCGGGAACGGGCCCCCACACAACCGTGCAACTCTGACAGTGATATCTATGCCGAAGCGGAGAAGCAACGGCAAGCAGACATACATCGGACGTTTGTGGATTATCTGTTGGCACTTTCCCAATGCGCTGCCAGCTTCCAACGGGAGGCGACCACTTCGCTCTTTCACCGGTCACAAATGCACTTCACGGCGGCGAACGGCTACGAAACTCTGCAAGACGCTCTCAAAGAGCTGATTCGATCAGACTCGGACAACGCAGCGGACAACGTCGTCTTTGCTGCTCGCCAGATGATCACCCCGTTTGCCCAGACATCAGAGTATCCAAAGTGGCTGTACTCTCCCCGTCTTGGGCCGTTCCTTGCCCGACATCCGTCTCTCGCAGCCTCCGGCCCCAAGTCGGACTCGCAGCCCGATCCAAAGCATCATTACACCCGAGTCCTGTGCCACTGGCTATGCGACAACTTGACGTTCCGATCAAATCCCCAGCCTTCTGTTGACGCTCTCCAGCTGCTTTATCAGAGTCTGTTTTACTCCTATGTGCCACCAAGAGACTTCGATACCCATCTTTACGTGCTGCGCGCTCTGCGGACTGAAGCAGCCAAAATCCGCACGCACCGTTTGGCTTTCATCGTCCAGCGGGTCGCGCTCACAGGTTTCTCCCCAGATTCGTCGGAATGGGAGCGATTGCTGGGTATCTTCGAGGACGAGGACTGGTTCCGCTCCGTGCTCGGCCTTGACAATGACAAACGGACGGAGCGGGCATCGGCACAGCATGTTTACGACTGTGCATATGCGGGTGTTTTGACCACTTTCTTCGAGCAATGCACCGCCCTGAGTTCAGATCAAACGGAGCGGGACCTGGACTGGTCGACGCTCGAGTTGGTGCACAACACAGCCATCTACGCCCCTTCAGTGATCCCGACTGGACTGCCCCGTCGATTTGCCGACGCTGCCTCTGAATACATCCATATATACCCGAAGGACTGTCTTGCGGATTGGCTCGGCTCGGCGCTTTACTGGGCCGTCGATGGGCGCAACGGGTGGATCCAGGATTTGGACGCATTGCGCGTCCTGGACACGGCTGTGTTTGATGTGCAGACGGGCGATCAGCAGGAATCACACCAGACGAATGCTCAATTTATCCGGGAACGGATGCAGGACCGACTCCATCCGGAGTACGTTTTCGCCGCCTTTGTCTCGCTCGTGAGTGACGGGGAGTAGAAAGACTATCGCATCCATTTATCTAGCCTAGAGTCGTGCGTGTATTCTGTATGAATAACGGGATCCTATTCAGTATGCGTGACACCCTCCGTCGACCAGGTCGGTCCCCTTGGTCAACCACCGCGACCATGCACGTTCGTCGCGGTCACGCAGATCGGATCCTTCGGACCGCCCTTGTGCGCCTGTGCGTCCTGCGGACGTCACACCTGCAGCCGCTGCGTCGCGTTCCCAGAGCTTCACTACCACCAGCCATTGAGCCATCGGGTTCTCAAGCGCCTCTCGCTGAAACACCACCAGGCCTGCCTGCATCTCTACTTACTTCAATAATGGATGCGGCAGAGGCGTTCCCGGGAATGCAGCCTCGATATTCGTCACGCCCCAGGTGTTTCAGCAATCTTGCACACGACGCTGTCGCCCCTGCTTGTGCCGGCTTCCAAAGCCCCACTCTGATATTTCCGCTCGACTCATTCCCCACGCCTTACAAGCCGACATCTGGTCCACCCCATTCTTTGTGGAGACATTACATAGACCGTCGCCGCCTTGTAACTCTACCCATCTATATGCAATAGCATATGTTACTTCAACTGATACCGATGCGACGAGAGCACACAAGCAATGGCAGATCTACAGAACGTGCAACTGCATTTGCCAGTGCTCTCCCAGTCTTAGATCATTCCTCGCCAGCCTGGGCATTGCGCCGTCCAAAGCAAGAGCGGCGAGCCACTCGAGGACAATCCATCATCCGCGGGTGCGCAAGCCGAACAGACTCTAGCACGACATCGCGCGTTTGTTCTCCGGCGCCCGTTTGATTAGCCGCACGAGGATCGGCCGAGACGTGCCTGCTCTGTAGCGAGGCCATGTCCACGGGAGATGGCATAATCTGTGGGGCACTTGAGCTGAAGAGATAGGCGGACAGATGTGAAAGACCACTCACCGACGCAGAAAAAACGTCCTTCCATCACATCCACAAGGGAGGCCTCAGAGTAGAAAGCAGTCCACATACACGCTGGTGGCCAACCAGGAACCACGGCTCTTGATAGGATCATACGCGTCATTAGAAATGGTATGTGGGAGGAAGCATTGGAAGACGTAGAGAAGCGCTGGACATGTGCATGAGAGAGACACGCGGGTTGCATCAGTCAGGGGATACACCGAAATGTGGATACATCATCGGCACTGGCGAGCGACTCGTGAATGGCGATGGCGAGATTCCACATAGAAAGCCATGTATGGGGTTGGGGGGCACCATCCACGACCAGGATTGTTCGACGTCATGCGGTAGCCCGCAGTCCACGAACGCTAGCAAGAATGTCGATAGCGGATGCGTCGCCTGGGCCTCAGGGCCGCAGTGAACACCAAGACAGAGCAAACGCACACAAGACGACCCACCCGCCAGCGATCGGCGACGGATCGCTCCCAGGAAAGAGCGCGGCGAGAACAGTCACATTCTGGAAAGTGGAACTTCAGAATGAACGAGATCGCACACGATGCATTCCACTGACACATACCAATCCGATGCCGCAGAATCGGTCTCTGAAACCGAAGTGTAGTGGACCAACCTACGCCTTGGGCCAGTCTCGCAGAACGCTCGAAATTAGTCGAGGTGTTTTCCATGCTGTGACATGTGGGTCGCGCTTTCCGAGTTCGGCAGCTGGGCGAGAAACTCGAGCGCATCATCCGTGTACACTGAGTTTGAGCCCGCGCACTCGCGCCAGGAAGGCAGTGTCTCGGTCGGCTTGACTGTTGAGCGTTGCAGAAGTGCAGACGCTATTGCTGGGGGTGACATTCGTGCGCATGTGCGCTTTCCAGCACATCATCGAGAGCACCTGGGTCGTCTTTAGGCTTCCTACGAAAGTGGCACAAAGCGCAGGTCAATTCATCACGCTTCGGCTCTCTGCGGCACGTCGACGCATCGTCTCTAGCAACACTCCACAAGCAGCAGTGGCAGCTGCAGCTGCAGCCTGCGACCACCGGCTGGCGGCGGAGCATTCCGACTCGCATTGTCGATCTCCAGCAGCAACACGCATACATACACTGGTGCCAAGGGGCCCTCTGAGACGGGTTCGAGCGTCAGCGATGTTCCAGTAAGCGCAGAATACTATCCCCCATCTCTCACAGCACCCCCGGCGTATGGGACAGTTTCCGACGCATTCAGATTGTGCGCTGCAGAGAGCGGCGGTCGCACGGCACCCAGTCCACCATAACCAGGTTAAGATAGGTTATTAAAGCGAGGTCGTGTGCAGTACCGGTGTGCAGTGGGCTCCCCCTCGTGTCGATTGCCTTAACGCCTCAAGTTAGCACAGGCCGTTGCTGGCGACAAGTATAGCTTGCACGGACGCGCTGTCCAGTCGCGTGGTCCGAGATGGCCGGCCGCAAACTCCGAGGTCGATTCCCGACGCGTCGTTACAGCAAGGACATGCAGAGTGTCGTTGCTGCTGCTGCAGTGTTAACCCGGGCCCGCACTCGTGACTGAAGTAAGTAGCTTGATGTGGTGTCACAGCACGTGTCTCCTCTAACTCACTTCGAGCAAAAGGCTGCTGTGAAAACAACCGGTTTCGGATTCGATGGGAACCGCATTCTCTGAGAATCGGGGTGCCCTGCATCCATGGTCAAGTTTGACGTGCATCTGATGTCGCCGTAGAGCGTGCGAGCGCCGTGCAGGACAGGCCGAGGTTAGGAAGATCCAAGCTCTCGACTGCCTGACAAAACAGCGGATTGGCTAGGACAATGTGACTTCGAGAAGAACGGCGGGAGATGGGACGATCTTATCACATGTGATCGAGTACCGCGGGCCTGTCCGAGTGTACTTCACTCTCCTGTTCGTTGGAAAGTATGCGGCCTTCCCGTTCGCTCACCGATATTCTACGGCGACTAATGCACAGATGTGCGCCTCCGGGGACCGATACCGCCGCACTGGTGCTTGATGCCATCCGTCGAAGCGTCGATGAACTGCCATACTTTGGGATACACCGTCGGTCAATCGTTGTGCCGTCCGAGCTTGCATTAGCTTCCTTGAGCGCCTGGGTCTAAATCCGCCACTCTAGCGCTGGGTGACTAGTGGCTGTGAACCGTGGCAGCGTGTACGGAGAAACGCTGTGCGGACATGAGGCAAAGTAGTTCCCCTCCTGCCTCTGACCATGTCGCGAGCTGAGAACGAACAGGCCGATAAACGAAAGACCGAAGAAGAGCATATCGAGCGCGAGAGGGCCAGCGGAAACAAGCTCTGGAGCGTCTACACCACCGAGGCGGAGAGCTACGATAAAGGCCTCATCGAAGGCTGGCGCAGCGAGATGGATGGTCTGCTGATCTTCGTGTGTCTCTTCCTCTGCTCAATTCAATTCTATCTCTGAATCTGACTCATCAGGCTGGTCTCTTCTCCGGTGTCGTTACGACATTTATCATCGACAGCTACAAGACGCTGAACGCTGACTCGGGCAGCCAGACGGTCGCGCTGCTCAGCCAGACTGTCGTCCTCCTCAGCCAGATCTCGCAGCAGCTCGCGAACATGAACAACGGGACTGCAATGGCGGGCGCCCTGCCTCCCCCCGCAGCCTTTTCGCCCCAGGCCTCCTCCCTTATCTGTAACGCACTCTGGTTCACAAGTCTTGCACTGAGCTTGTCGAGTGCCCTTGTCGCGACTCTGGTCAAGCAGTGGGCGCAGGAGTACCAGCACCGCACATCGATGTTCTCCTCCCCCTCTGTCCGCGCACGTGTGCACATGTATCTTTACTACGGCTTACGACGCTTCAATATGCATGCCGTTGTTGGCGTTCCCCCCCTTCTGCTGCACGCTTCACTGCTCCTCTTCTTTGCGGGTCTCGTTGCCTTTCTCGTGCCCGTCAACGTCATTATCACGGGCATCTCCTCCGCTCTGCTGCTCCTCTTCGTTGTGGTCTATGCGACGTTCACTGCACATCCGCTGTTTTTCCTCGACAGTCCGTACCAAACGCCACTCACTCGGAGCCTATGGTCGCTAAATCAGAGCTTGGGAAGCACGCTGAGTGCTTGTATTCGGAGGGCAGTGGCTGTTTGGAAGAGAGTCGGTCTGGCCGACCCCGAGAAAGCCACGGAATCTGCTGTGACGAGCCCTGGCGTCTCTGGCGAGGCTTCCCCTTGCAGACACGCATCCGCAGTCCCAGAGCATGATTGTTGCACTGAAATCGGCGGCACTGCGCCCCACCGTTGACACAGAAAGACGGGCTCTCACGTGGACCGTCCGGTCTCTCTCTGATGATGACGAGCTTGAGAAACTTGTCGAGGGGCTCCCCCAGACGCTGTGGGATTTCGATCGAAACAAGCCTCGTAGTGTGTACCAGGCACTGTTCCAGTCCCTGTTGCGGGATCCGCATGTCCATCTTGGACAGCGTCTCGCCGATTTCATGGCTGGCTCCAACAGCAATCTGCTCGAGCACAAGGACCGCCTCCGCCGCCAGCTCTCAGTGCTCCGGGCGATCTGGGCAATCTGCGCGTTCTCTCTTCACACGGGGTCGCCTTTGCAAAGTCCAATCGGAGAAGCTCACGTGGACCATGCGCTGCTTGGCTCGAAATTTCTTGATTCTCCTGACGCGCAGAGCATGCTTCCCGACGTGTCTGCTCTGATCCATCTGAACATGATCGAGTCTCAGAGCCGGCAACAGGACCACACACCGACGAGCGATTCCGACGGCGATATCCACGCCGAAGCGGAGGAACGACGGCAAGCGGACCTGCGATGGACGTACGTGCATTATCTGGTGGCACTCTCCAAATGCGGTGCCTGCTTCCAACAGGAGCAGACCAGTTCATTCTTCTATCGGTCACGAATGGTCTTCACGGAAGCAATCGCCTACTGGACTCTGCAAGACGCTCTCGAAAAGCTGATCAATTCAGCGTTGGAAAAGACAGCGGACGAGACCGCGGACAATCTTGTTTTTGCTGCTCGCCAGATGATCAGCCTGTTGGCACACACATCGGAATATCCCCATTGGTCGCTGCCGGGTCTTGGGCCGTTCCTTGTCCGACATCCGTCCCTCACCGCCTCTGAGTCAGGGTCCGCTTCGAAGCATCATTACACCCGATTCCTATGCCACATGCTATGCACAAACTTGAAGTACCCGTACCATCCCCAAGCATGTGTGGACGCCCTCCACCTGATTTATCGGAATCTGGTCGAGTCCGATGTGCAACTCAGAGACTTTGATACCCATCTTTATGTCCTCCGCACTGTGCGCATTCATGCAGCCGACATCCGCACGCACCGTTTGGCTGTCGTCGTCCAGTTTGTCGTGCTCAAAAATCTCCGTCCGCGTTTGTCAAAATCGGTGGATTTGGCGGAATGGGAGCAATTGCCGAGCATCTTCAGCGACGAAGCCTGGTTCCGCCCCGTGCTCGGCCTTGACAACAAGAGGGGGACGGAAATTTACGAGTGTGCATGTGTGGGTGTTGTGACCACTTTCCTCGAGCAGTGTGTCGCCCGGAGTCCGGATCAAACGGAGCGCGACCTGGACTTTGAGACGCTCAAATCGGTACACAGATTTGCCCGCATTCATTCGGTGATCCCGATCAAACTGCAACGTCGATTCGCCAACGCCGTCTCTGGATTCATCCGCAAATATCCAGAGAACAGTCTTGCAGATGGCAATATGCTCGGCTTGGTGCTTTACTGGGCCGTCAATGAGTTCGACGGGTGGATCACCAAATTGGATGCATTGCACGTCCTGGACACGGCTCTGTCGGAGGTGCAGACGAACGACCGGCAGCAAGAACACCAGATCAATGCTGAATTTATCCGCGAAAAGATGCAAAGGCGGCTCCTTCCCGAGATCATTTTCTCTGCCTTTGTTTCGCTCGTGAGTGACGAGGAGTAGAGGGACCATCGCAGAAGGTGTTGTCTTCATGTACCTTGCCAGCGATCTATGTATTTCATACGTGTGACGAGCAACACGAGTATGAGCTAATTGAGTGCAACAGTCAAGCAGCTAAGATCCTGAGAGTTCCCTTCCCGACATAAGACCTCCGTTGACTGCGCCATGTGGAGCACTGAGACCCGTTGAGTCGACATTCCAGAGGCCGCGTCCATTCGCAGTGTCTTTGTCGACTTGCACAATGTGCCGAGCGTCCGTGCCATCAGGAATGAAAGTGCTCCCCATCTGGGCCAGTGGCTCGACCAGAGCATGGCGAATCGTGGCCGCAGCAGCACCGACAGAGGACGGAATTATACGGCATGCCCCCAAGGTATCCTTACTCTGTGTTGTAAATACATCAGCCACTCGGCACCTGTGCGAAAGAAAGACCCACCAAGCCGACTATCTCAATCCCACATCTTTCCCCAAGTTCACGATTGTCGGGCCAATTAGCTCAGGGATGTGATCGATGCCTACGACTTGTCCGCCTGGAGAGAGACCGCTCGGAGGTACCCAGAACTGCCGCCGACGTCGAGAACGTGGGGCCACCTATGTGAAGGAACGGCGATAGGTGGTCGATTGCATACTAGTGCATGTGCGCGGCACTGATCGTTGCGCCGTGGCCGATCCCCCAGCAAAAGAGCGCCTCGGAGAGACTCGTGCTCGATGCCATGACTGTAGTGCGGAATGCGTGACGGACTGGGGCGGACCCTCGCATGCAGTGCTTGCGTCCCCCCCGTAGTGTGCACCGTCGACCTATCCCACTCGCTCATGCGAACCACCATGGTGACATGCGGTGTTGCCCAGTTCAGCGTTGACCAGTGCCACAGAGGCGGCTCAATCGTGTGGCAGTTGAAACGCCGTCGGAGAAGATCCTGTTGCCAAGATAATCGCGTCTTTTTGAGTGCTGCGTCGTTTGTGTGCTACACTAGAAGCGAAGGCGGGGTTACGGGTGGCTCGTGCAGGACCCGGTGCGCGTGATGAATAGGCATGCAGGAGACCGGTGAGAGAAGCGTCAATTAGAGATCTAGAGCAGAGATTAGCGATGTGGCTCAACATGGTACCAGAGGTGCTCACGCCAACGATAATCTCCGAGTCGAAAGGATGCATGAACCAGTTGCTGAGCGATATAGCATGTCTTATATCATCACGGAGGAGCCGGAGGCACGATAGATACTGCAGCAGGTGACCTGAATGGAGCGTATTTGCAAAAAAGCAGCAAGATTCGCAGATGTGGGAGGCAGGACAGGACTGCAAAGCTGATCGCTGGCTGTACAAGATATCGGACAGCAAGGAGTTAGACACGCCGTTCCTGGACCTAGGGCAGTTTGAAACCCCGTCGAGCATAGTCATAGTCTAGTAAGAGGAGAGTCAGACTGAGCGAGACCGAAAAAGATACAATGTACTCACGCAGAGCAATCTAATGCCACAGAATCAGACAAGGAAACTAAGTGCGATGAATCGACTCACGTTTTGTACCAGTTTCTTAGGCAGCCCAAAGATACCCTAGATGCTCTCGATGCTGTGTTCTATCCAGCATGCAGGCTTTTAAATATCGCCATCAACGCCGGCGTCTACAGACTTGCGACACTTGGGAGAGCTGCCAAAACAGGCGTGAGTGTCAACGACGTTCTGGTAAGCCGCATAATATTACTTTGATTTTCTGACAGCACCCGCATGTGTGGCCGTTTCCACCCCTTCGAATCGTGCGCTGCAGGGACCCTCTTCCAGCTGAGTTGACATGACAGCTTCGAAACCATGGGCTTGCGCCAAGTACAGCTCGGACAGATGCGCGGTCTCCACGTATGGCGGGAGACGGCCGGCCAAAGAGTCCAAGTCTATTCCCAACGTGCTGCCAGAGAGCGAGAATGCGTAATGTCGTTGCTGCCAGTGCAAGAGCATCAGAAAGCCTTAGAAGCTTGTGACAAGCCTGTGACAGCACGCATTTCTTTCAGGCCACTTGGAACAGCTCTTGGAATGAAAGGCATCCCTAACTTCCGGTTTCCGCTCGATGGGGACCACACGTCCCTGAGAATTGGCGTGGTGCACTCCCTTGGAACTGCATATGTGTGAAGATTTGGTCTACACCTCCCTCCACTGAGAAGCACGACCTCTATCTGATATCGCTGCAGAGCGTGTGAGCGCGGTGCACCACGGGGAGAGCCATCTCGGCCGGGGTTAGAGAGGGGACTCGTGCTCTACATGACTGGTCATCGGATTGGCCATGGCTGTGCAACTCGGGAGGATCTGCGAGATGAGGGACTATCGCAACACACCGCATGCGACCAGCTATCAAGGGCACAAGCCAGTCTACTCTATCCCTTGCGAGATTCCGCGTCTGGTTGGATTTTTATGACTTCCCATCTGCTCATGGAGACTCTACGGCGACTAATGAACACATGTGCGCCTCCTGGGAACGACAATGTCTTACAAGTGCTCAAGGTTATCCGTCCATCTTCTGGAAGTGCCAGTGGACTGGCACGCCCCTGGCATGCGCTACCGGGCAATCTTTGTGCCGTCCGAACTTGCGTTGGCTTCCTTGAGCGCCTATGTCTAAATCCGCCATTCAGGCGCTGGGCGCTTGGGGGCTGTCAGCCGTGGCATTGTTCCAGCCAGGCAGCGTATATGGAGAAAAGCTGCTCAAACACGAGACACAACAGTTCCCATCCCTGCTTTTGACCATGCCGCCAGCTGACAAACAACAGACCGAGAAACAAGAGGCCAACGAAGCAAGTATTGAGCGTGAGAGTGCCAGCGGGAACAAGATGTGGGGCGTATACATCTCCGAGGCGAAAAAGTACGATGACGGGCTCATCGAGGGCTGGCGCAGCGAGATGGATGGTCTGCTCATCTTCGTGTGTTTCTCATCCGTTTTCAATCCTGGTCTGTTCTGAATCTGACTCATCAGGCTGGTCTCTTCTCCGGTGTCGTTACGACATTCATCATTGATAGCTACAAGACACTAAACCCGGACTCGGGCAGCCAGACCATCGTGTTGCTCACCCAGATCTCTCGTCAGCTTGCGAACCTGAACAACGGTACAGCGGTGACGGACGCACTCCCTCCCCCTGCTGCCTTCTCGCCCCCACTCTCAGCTCTCATATGCAACGCACTTTGGTTCGCCAGCCTCGGGCTCAGTTTGTCCAGCGCACTTGTCGCGACACTCGTCGAGCAGTGGGCGCGGGAGTACCAGCACCGGACTACCATGTTTCCCACCATCTTCACCCAGTCGCGCGTGTACATGTATCTGTACTACGGTTTGCGCCGCTTCAAGATGCATGTCGTTGTTGGCATTCCCCCGCTTCTCCTGCACATGGCACTGGTCCTGTTCTTCGCGGGTTTGGTGGCATTCCTCCTGCCCATCAACATCATCATCACGGGCATATCGTCCGCTCTGCTGCTCCTCTTTGTCTTGGTCTACGTGACGTTCACGGTGCTCCCGCTGCTCTTCTCGGACAGTCCGTTTCAGACGCCGCTGTCGCGAACCCTCTGGCCACTGAGTCAAAGATTGGGCAACAGACTGAGGGCTCATATTCCAAAGAAAGTCGCTGTGACAGATCCCGAGGCCCCCGCCAAATCTTCCGACACTCGTCTGCGGACCCAGAGCATGTTGGGGGCAATGAAGTCAGCGGCACAGGAGATCACTGTCCCAACACAGACCCGGGCTCTTGCTTGGGCTGTGCGCTCTCTATCTAACGACGTCGAGTTTGAACCGTTCGTGGAGGGGCTTTCCCAGGCGCTCTGGGATTTTGAACGAGGGAAGCCATGCACCATGTATCGAGAGCATTTCGAGGGTTTATTGCAGGCTCCTGAAGTCGGTCTCTGCCAGCGACTTGCAGATTTCATAGCTGGCTCCATGAGCAACCTGCTTGAGGACAACGTCCGCCTACGTCGACAGATCTCTGTGCTCCGGGCCATCTGTGCCATCTGTGCGTTCTCCCTACACACCGAATCGCCTCTGCAATCTCCGATTGGAGACGCTGATCTCGGGAAAGCGCTGGCTAGCTCGAGGTTTCTTGGCTCCACCGACGTGCAGAGCATGGTCCCTGCTGTGTCCGCTCTGATTGGTCTGAACGTGATCGAGTTTAAGCGCCGGAAACTGATCCCCACGCAGGGGGGCATCTCTGGCCGTGATCCCCATGCCGAAGCAAAGACGCAACTGCAAAAGGAGAAGCAACAGATGTACATGGAGTATCTAAATGCACTGTCCAAAAGCCCTGCCAACTTCCAGCGGGAGCTGACCAATTTGTTCTTCCATCAGTCACAAGTTCCCTTCCAGACCACAGACAACGACTTCACCTTGACATTCGCTCTGGAAGAGCTAATCCGATCAGAGTCGGACGGGACAACGGACAATCTCGTCTTTGCTGTTCGCCAGATGATCAGGGTGACTGCCGAGGCATGGACGGACGAACGGTTGCCTTGGATCTCTGGTCTTGCGCCGTTCCTTGTCCAACATCCTTCCCTCGCCGCCTACGACCCGGACTCCGGCGTACAGCCCGGTCCGGAGTTCGAGTACACCCGACTCCTGTGCTACTCGCTATCTATGAACGTGTACTGGCGACGCGATCTCCAAGCGTCTCTCGACTCCCTCCAGCTGATTTATCGTCACTTTCTCAACGCGACCAAACTCACAAGGTACCCAAAAGACCTTGATACCCATTTTTATGTCTTCCGCACTCTGCGGAGCTCTGGCGTTCAAGCAGCAGACATCCACACGCACCGGTTGGTTGCCATCATCCAGTCCGTCATGCTCGAATGTTTCCGGCAAGATTCATCAGAATGGGCGAAATGGCTGAGTATCTTCGATGACGAGGACTGGTTCCGCGCAGTGATCGGCCTGGACAACGAGAAACGGATGGAACGGGTCTCGGCGAAGGAAGCACATGACTTGATTCCGAGCTGTGCTCGTGTGGGTGTTCTGACCACCTTCTTGGAACACTGTGCCCGGATTCCAGACGAAA